AATAGTTCAGTTAGTTATATGCTTTAAATAAAAAAAAAGTTGTCCAAATTTACTTATCTGTGAGTGTAGTTATGATCGGTAGGATACTTTTGCACGTTACTGTATGTCTGGATCAAAACAATAAGATAAGATCCCAACTTAGGGACATGCAATGCAACTATTAATTCCCCTATTTATTCACAAATACCAAAACCCACGTCCATTGAATGGTATTAGCAAGACTTCATTACCAGTAGATTATTACAGGAATAGCAAAGCATGGATGCAAATGTCCATTTAAGCGATTATCTAAAAAAGCTGGACAGTCAAACGATAATAGACACAGTTAGGTTATAGTCTAACCTATTTACTATATTTACATTTAATTTTGGTTCTTTAACGGCAGTGTCAAACCTTATTAGACTCAAACATGTATTATGTATGATGTGAAAAAAGCAAGCTTTAGTAATAAAGGACACAAAACTAAAAAAGTTTAAGTTGGACAGAAAAATGTGTATATTGCAAACCGAAGAACACTATTATTGTTAGACCAATAACTTGATATTGAATTGACGAATATATCCATTATCGGAAATGGTTGCTTGAAAGAAGAACAAAAACTTTTGACAGACTACAAACTACGGATAACGCGTCAAAACTTTTAAATCAAGACATGTTTGACTGCATTCGAAAAATTTGTAAGTTCTAAAGCAAGATATTTGTTGTCGTATTATTAATATTAATATTTTCTCTATTGCATTACAGCTTTACCTACCTATCTTCTGGATGAATGCTGGTTCTTTTTGGATAAATTATTAAAACAGGAGTCCTCAAAAAGAAAAGATTATAAAGAAAAATATGTCCATAAAAACGAGAAATACTTTACTTATCACCTTTCTTATCATAAGCCAACTTTTTATCATTCAGCTTTACACTACCGTCAACGGACCACCAAGCCAGCACTCGGCAGTGGATGGAATTCTCATTGGTTTGGTAAAATTTATTACAGGTACTAACAATACAAATATTGATTATTGAAATTAAAAGTCAACGGTGAATCCAAAAGTTCCGCCTGTTGAATGGCCATAACCTAATATGCAAGCAATTATGTGTGAGAGAATATTCTCTGGAATGAAAAATGGATGAATCGGATACACGATCCATATGTGCGTTGTGCCATCCTAGGTTCATCGACTCGAAGACGAGAGCATCACGTAAGCTTCGAGAATCAGCTTATTGCTAGTACTTCTCCCGGTAGGCTTTTCAATCTCCACATCATTTCTCTGGTTTAACGTTTAATGTTTTGTTAACACGTGATCAGTATCCTTAATTTCTGAGAAATTAGAGTTAAAAACCGCAAATTAAAATATTTAATCCACAAAATAATGTTTCTTTGAACTGCTTATGCGATTCCGACAGACATGACTCGTTTAATGAATGCTGGTCGGCAAAGACTTTTAGTGGTTGGAGGAACTGGATACTTGGGTATATTTACACAGCATTCCTGTTGAGAACGCAGCCTGCATGAAAGTTGCATTCGCGTCTTATACATTGGAATCGGATTCGTAGGGTATCGCGTATGCAAAGCCGCTATCCAGCGAAACTTGGAGGTTTTGAGTTTGAGGTATTGTGACAAATGCTCTTCTGTTTGTACATTTAGTACGTTTGGACTTACAGACACATTGGGCATTGCCTAGTCGTCGCGGTCGTTTACAAAAAGAAACTACACCACCGTGGGAACAGAAAGTAAGGTTTTAACTTTGGATACACTAGTTATGCTAGCAATCAAGTTATTTCGTACTTTACCCCAATGGATTTCCATACAGGTTACTTGGCTCAAAGGAAATTGTCTTACCCCATCAACATATAGTGATTTGCTCAAAGATTGTACAAGTGTAGTTCATGCCGTTGGTACGCTCCTCGAAAACCCCGATTATAAGAAAGTTGTTCAGAGCAAGAGCGCCGCCGAAGCATTTGGAAACTTATGCATCAGTTGTAAAAATCAAAATCCATTCAAGAGAGATGCAAGTGAAGCAAATAATTACGAGAAAATCAATAGAGATACTGGTATGTCTTGACTTTAATCTCGTGTGAAAGATTGTTATTTAGCCATGCAAAGAAACAGTAATTATGACCTATCAACATTTAATTGCAGCCATAGCGGTTGCTAATGAGGCAGCACGTTATGGCAGTATAAAGTCATTTATCTACATATCAGCCGCAGATGTCTTTCCCTTTATAGATTCAAGATACATATCGACAAAGAGGGAAGCTGAATTTGTACTATTATCCAAACCAGAGTTTAAGGCCGTCATACTGAGACCAGGTATATGTTTCTTCATTCTCTCATTTTTTTAACCTTTAAACAGAGATTAACAATTTTATTCGCGTAGGTTTTATATATTCAGACACGAGAATGTTTTCTTTGCCTATTGCCGGAATGCTCACTGTTTCAAGCAATATTTCCAAAGTTATTCCATTGTCTATATTGCCTTCAGCACCTCCATTACATGTTGATACGGTAGCAGAAGCCGCCATCGAAAGTATTGTAAATCAAGAGGCTAGTGGCATCTATAATGTCCATGAAATAACAAAGTTGGCAGATGGTGTCGTTTAAGCAAATGAGAATGTGTCTCCTTGTTGAAATGTCTGTTCTACAACTACGTGAAGTCTAATTTTGTGACAAGAAACATAATATCGATTCCGGATGTTACAACAAATAATTTAAACTTATCAGAGATGCCAGAAACTAAACTTTACAACACATCCCAGGTATATTGATCAGAAACAGAGAACAATGTACCTGTTAATGAACAACAAGCCCATGTCTAGGTATGTCGTATGGTGTAATTAATAATTTAATTTAATTAATTTAATCTTATATTGTATTACCCTCAATGACGAATTATTAATAATTACTCAAGTTATCATTCACAATTTTGCGTTTTTAGCTGTCAAATACAAAGGGAGTTAGTACATTTCTATATGATTTGGACAAACTCGATGACAAATCTACATACTTTTTTGTTGGCAGTGTCAGCTTGGTAAATTTCTTCTAAATCCGGAAATCCTAGATTCGATTCGATAGTAATTAGTACCGCTAATGGGCAATTTCTATTTCAATATAGCATTCTTATAAAATACTTGCCTTCAAAACTAAAAACTTCAGATCTCCTTTTCTCGTGAAACTTCAAACCAGATATTTTGGATGTTAATCCTGTATGCATCACATTCTCGTTTTGGACTTTTGAGCCTATCTTGCTGGGATCTTCACTATTAAGATCTACATTGGCCAAAAACGGAGACATTCCTGTGTGTAAAGATGCCGTTGAATAACACGAGGTACTGGATGGACTGAGTTCCGGTACTGGACTATCCTTGTCCCGTAGGGTAATTTTCTCTGTTAAGAAATTTGGTAAGAACACATGATAGATGCGTGTGCATAAGTGAACCAAAGAAAAATGATGTATGAACAAATAGAATCGAATATGACTTGCACTTACCATCCCATCCAATAACGCAACTGTCCACTACAAATTAGAACAAAGAGTTAATTTTTGGAAAAGAGATGAACCCGGGAAAAAAATTTAAAATTCACGAGCTTCTTACGATGTTCCACTGGGAGGCGCGGTGTGCTTTGGTCTAAAAAAAATATGAATAACTCATTCAAACAAGTATTCAAAGTGAAAAGAAAATGATTAATACTTAATTACCGTCTTCAACATCGTCATGGTGTTCAATGCCAACTTTCAAACTTTTCTTGCCGTCATCATTATCCGATAACACCATCCGTCTACTTCTATACATTGCTTCTGAATGTGTGGGTTGTTCAATACTTTGCATCTCCTTTCCGATATTTCTCAGCCTATACTCTTCAACATTTTTAATCTCGTTTGCGATGGGAGGAGTATCTCTATCAATAGCGGTACGCCATTTCCATAGAATTCGTATAACCTCTTTACAGCTCGGTCGTTTCTCTGGGTCAGCATTCCAGCATTTCTCCATTAATTTTGCATAAAACTTTGGAATACCACAACCGATCTCGGGTCTCTTCCCTTCACAAATGGCAAAGACCAAGTACTCGTCATGAGCGACTCGACCAAAAGGCGGACGACCAGTAGCGATCTCCCACATCACCATGCTAAAACTGTATATGTCTGATGCTTTGCTGTATCCCTGTCCACGGAAAACTTCTGGAGCTATATATGGAATTACTCCAAAAATCTTTTGCTTTTCTTGAACCGCGTCAACACGTATGGACAACCCTAAATCTCCTATGTACGAATAGTTGTTAGACAATTGAAGTATGTTACCAGTGTGAAAGTCTCTGTGGATCAATCCAGCTGAATGAATGTCATCCAATCCCTGAGCAATATAGTAAAGCATAGTTATGCGTTGCGTCCATGTACAGGTGGGAAAATTCTTGCGGAGAAAGCGACGAAGGTCGCCACATTTGGCATACGGCATTACGAGAAGATAGGATTTAGTCGCCGGGTCTTGGGTGATGCCGAGAATCCATAAGACTCTAGGTTTAGGTTGAGTAGATGTACGCGTGCTGCATAAGTATTGCGTTTTAAGCTGCATCACATACACATAAGCGACGATATAAACAAAGATATAGATTGCTCAATTTAATATAAACATATATAATAATAAGATGACAATTGAATTGCCTTATGTCGTAATCATACTTCTCTCACGAAAGCCGTTATATCAGATCTGATATCTTTCAATGCCACTTTATACGTTTCCCTCCTCAACCACTTTTCTTGTTTGTCGTCCCAATAATTGATGGGTCCATCCTTCCAGATAGCAGAATAAACAGTTCCAAATCCTCCTCTTGCCAAATATTTAACTTCGTCCAATTGATCGTACGGAATCCATTCTAACAATTCATCTCTTTGAGTGGCATTGAGTTGTGTTTCACGGATAAACTCGTCAATGATTTCATGACAGCTTGTCCAGTTGGAGAAATCGTCCTTTAGACGCGCAGAATAACAAGGAGGACAATAGTATTCACCGGTGAGTTGTTGAAGGCATTTGCGGCATATATTCAGTTCCCTTTCGTATTCTATTCCAGGAGAGTACTCTACTACTACGGAGAGTAAAATCTCGGAATAGTCTGTTGTTGTAGATGATGTCTCACAATCAGATAAAGAGGAGGTAGATTGGGGCGTGGATGGGTAACTATTTATAGGAGATTCAGATCCTGTTAGAAGAAAGTCGTCGAACCCTTCCATAAATGTGAAGGATTTAGGGACGCTGAAAATGAAAATTGAAGAAATCGAACGACTATTTAATTGAAAAATAAAGGGTGACACTTGTTTGCTGTTCTAGTAGAGTAGGTGATTTGCGATTATAATGTCACACAGCAACTTTACCAATCTTTTGGGCACTTGCCCTCCCTGCATAGCGATCACATTAATACTAATGCTGTAACACCAAAGATTTGTCATGACAGTTTTCGTTATAACATTGTTTATTGATTTACTATTTGCTTTGAGTTCTCTTCTGATTAACTTGCGCGTGAAAGCATAAACTAAATAAATTGCCAATATAACATAAAATGAAGTGAGAAAGTGAAGGAAGATGTAGGTAGAGTAGAAAGATTATAATTACAGAGTAAATAAACATACTTGCAGAATAATGCAGAATATGATGCATTAATGAATAATGAATATGAACAATTGCATATAAAAACGTACGATCACAAACGAGATAGAAAAAGTATATCAACAAATTAACAACAACACATCCCCGGATTGAAAGATTCATCCAAAACAACCAATAATAGCTTAACTTTGTAACCATCAACCAAAATGTCCAATATACCATCATAAATGGCCTTAAATACTACCAATAAAAGTAGTCCCAAAAATTGAGGGTTATCCTTATATTGAAATGTCAAGTAAACGAAACAAACTCAAAAGTAAAGCAAAAGTAAACAATTACTGTGTAGACTATCTCACTGTCGCTTAGTAGAATGTTTATCGGGATGATACGAAGAGGCACTGCTGTACCTTTCGAATCGATAATGATAACTCTGATCGAGACTTCTACTATCACGAAAAGATGCTTCACTCTTGACTGAACGACTATTTGATGACTGAACAACACTCGCCCTTCCTGCTTCTTGTTCAAAGGCTATATCTCGATCACTAGATCGACTAGGAGATCTACCATAACTAACAGGCGGTACATGCTCTTTGGCGTATGAAATATGAGATCTGCTATAACCATAATAAGAATCACGCTCGTCTGTGTATGGACTAAGAGGCCGTCCATAGTTAACAGGCGAGCCACGATCCTTTTTGTAAGGACTGGGGGATCTTGCGTATGTGGACATCCTATCATGGCGACTTTGCGGACTGGGTGATCTCGGACAAGTGGAGGAAGACATTCTATCCCGACTCGTCTGCCGTGATTGATACGACCGGCTAGAGGATTCTGGAAGACTAGATAACGACATTCCATCCTGGCTAAGTCGACGAGATGTAGAAGACCTACTAGTAGCACGGCTATCGCTTCGTGCTCTATCGCGACTCTCGCTGCGACTAGACGGTTTGGCGGCGGACCGTTCATACGAGACATCGGCTGGGCTATCATATACAGGACGACGCTGTCGACTGGGACCAGACGAACCAGATGACCATTCTACGCCTTCCCTAATAGGTTCTTCCCGTCGAGATTTAGGAGTTTTCTTTTCAGCTCCCTTTTTTGACTTTTCCTTGTTAAAATCGTCGACTATAGGTTGGGCTTCTTGTATCGTTAGTCCAGCTAATTTGGGCCACCATTCGTCGTTATGGTCAACCAAGGAATAAATTACTTGGGCATCTACGGTCTTTTCAGCCCACACTTTCACCATGCTTGGATCATCGGCTTCGATCATCTGCATTCTACAATATTCAACATATTTCTTATACGATTTCTTTCCTATTGTTTGTAAAGCATGTTGTTGTTTCTTTCTTGTAATTGTTTTGCTGACTTGCTGCAACACCTGGACTGCCTTTGCCTCTGGAAACGCCTTTAATACGAGATCGATCATATCTTGTTTGAATCCAGGGACTTTCCACACAATTTCACCGAGTGTTTCTGCTGCATTTGCTTTCTTTACTCTTTTAGATACTTCAGATATGATTACTTGCCTGAGATCGTCAAGATAATATTTGTCAGCAATCTTGAGTATATCAATAATCGACCTTCCTGAATTTTCATCTTCATCAAATGTGATGGTATTAGAATACAAATATCGAAGCATTTCCAGAAATGTCTCGGGCTTAAAGTCAGATACTTCGATTATGTAAGTGTATAATCCGATAGATTCAAGGGAAGCAAGAGCATCTACATCAGCTTCGCGATTTGCCTGCACATTGCGCCGACCGGGTTGTTTTCTCACTATCCTCATCCCATAAGCAAAGTCCTCTTCTTTTAGTAATTTGTTGAAATATTCCGATCGCTTCCTTAATATGAAACTGCGCGCATATATCTGTTTGCCTTGTACTAGAAACTGAACGTCTGCAATGTCATTGTTATTCAGTTCACCCAGCCACGCTTCGAGCAAGTTAGTTGGTACGCCTTTACGTGATAATGGAGTTGTCGTTCTATCGGTATCCAGTTTAGCTTCGCTCAGTGATATTCCGATAATGATATTCTTTGTAAGGACCGACTTTCGACAAAAACGAGGGAAACCTAGTAACAAAGAGAATTAAATACGAAGAGATACAAATTAACGCGCGTGTTAAAGTTCGATTGCGGTAAATTTTGATAAAAATCCATCCATGAATGCGCATAGAAAAGAAGAAAGACATGACTAAAATTTTTCCACGTACCCCATACTTGCTTCTCCTTGGAATAATTTCCCATTTTCAACTCGGCCGGATTAATAATGTGTGGAGAGCTGTAAAAGGATTGACTAATGTTATTTACATCCCATCTATGCGATGCGTTTGTCTTACTGTAGCAATCCAAATAACTTACCTGGATGATCCGCCAGCATCTTTCATCCACATCATGACATTTACTTTATGTCTTCGCGCCCATAGTGTATTAGACGACTCTTCGTCTGAATTGGGTATCGCGCATAAAAAGACCGAACAATGGTTTTGGATATCTTTTGGATTCTATTACGCAAGACAGACATGTACATATTTCAGACTCTAGAAAGACGCTCATTATGCAAATGACGTGTTGTAAACGAATGAGATACTATACCGGATCAAATTTGACTTGCCAGAAATGATCTGTTGAAGTCGCAAATGGCGGTGTGCAGAATGTGCCTTTGAGTTTATCAACGTTCGATATGATAAACTCAAAGCTACACTTTGCAGTGCATGCCTGAGTCACCGTCATTATTGTGTGAACTGAATGTTATTTACTAGTGCTATATTGTATTATAAAATAACTTGTGTTAACGGGGGGGGGTTCCCAGGGATTTTTGAAACCAACTCCCAGACAGAACTAATAGTCAATGTTGCTTTATTATAGTTCCAACGGATGTAAACAAAGAAGGTATAAGAAATCTTTCTTCAGGAGAAAGAGTTAACTCATTACGTCTGGAAGATGGTAAAAAATCTCGGGGGAGGGGGGTGTGTGGTGAGGGGTGTGCAAAATATCTTCTTCCCGCCAAACGAATTTTTATTATTCATGCTACTGGCCCCCCTTAAATAAATGAATATCACTTGCAGATTGCATCTTCCATACGAAACAGGAAAAACAAAATACGATAATGCTTTTTCCGGATACGATGTAGGACTGGTTGCAGCCATTCGTCGTGATTGTCGTACGATGCGTGTAAACACAGGCCTGTTTAGGAATAACACAAGATTTTCATGGGAGCATGTCATGTGCCGACACCATATTTGAATTTTAGATGTAGCCATATTGCCATTTTGCGTATAATTAGCAATCCCATTGAATGCGGGTGAATGACAACAGCGATTTACGGTTGTCGATTAATATAATATAATATGCTAATCGTGAAAATCATCAATGATAATACGCGGTTTATGATTGGATGGCTTATACAATCGTGTAAAGGAATAAGAGGTTTCGAGGTCTTTATTAGGCACACATGTGTAAAGGAATAAGAACATTCCTCGTTGGGTTTGACAAATTGTGTGCGATGTTCATTTAAAGTATTGACCCTCGTTTTCACCAACACAATTATTGTTGTCGTGCCACAATTAAGCACAAGTCTAGATGCGATGTCTATTGTTGTGCAGCAAAATAAACAATAATAGCCCATATAAATAAAGCGCAATTATTTCACTCCTATTTTTCAGGTATTCAAATCGCACATGTTATAGATTGTGGGCGTTTTACTTTTTTTGTCAAGACAAATGAGTTCCCATTGGCCGAGCTTATACAAATGGGGACAGTATTAGTAACAGTAACACAACAAAAATCTCTTATGACGACACGGTAACTATAATAGCATTTCACCAACTAATATTTTTGACACGTTCCCTTATCAGACAAGACCCCTTTACACACGAAGTATTCCTATGCAGATAAAGTGAAGAACTGAAGCAGTTCACTATTGACCTGCATATAATGTGGTGATAGATATGTTATAATCCGGAACATGCATCATCGAATGCTTTTCACGTAATTTGTCTTATTATTATTAACAAATTATTCCTATTAGAAAGGGATCTAAGGTGCATTCATCGCCTCGCATTATTGAATGCAAGAATGTCTTTCTCTTTATACTTGTCATACTCAACACGTTTAAGTTCATTTGTGACAGTTTCCTCGTTCTGTTGTCTATTGTAACTAAACCCGTTCCAAATGGACTTTATTGATCATCTTTCATTAACTGCATTAAGTGATCATTATAACTAGCATTCTAACCAGATCATCCATGAAAGTGCTAGACATCCATAAATACATATATCGAGTAGCTCTTAAATAGCAGATTAGGGCCCTGGTACCGGCGTATTTAAAAAGCCGAGGCAAAACTGAATCGAGGAATGTTAGTCATAATTTCAGGATGCTGAACGCAGAGCCTGTAACGCGGGTAAAAAAGCAAATTGGGTATTGGAGAAAGAGAAAAAGAAACCTATTCAAGTCGAATATCACAAAGTTCAACGTTCACTGGTGTGGTTTTGTTGCAGCACACCAAGCTTACTACGACGAAATTCAAACTGATCCATAATTCTTGCGATACGATTGGTCAAAACAACTTACTTAATCACAGATTTTTTCTCGATCGACATCACGATTAAAGTCTGAAAAAATGCGAATTTTTTTTCTGATCATTAGAAATGAACACTTCGTTCCCACTTAATTGTGAAATAACCTCATTATCGTTCGGCTGCCTCTCGGTGGAAGAGATTCGTAAGATCTCAGTCAAAGAGGTCAATGTTACTGCTCTATATGACGCCATCGGAAGTCCTGTAGAAGGAGGTCCATATGACCCTGCATTTGGACCGCTATCAGCACTCGACATGTAAATTCATTTTGGCAATAACAAAATAATTCAAGTTTCAAATAAACTTAGTAATTGTCCAGTCTATATTTCAGAAAATTGATTTGATCTCCCCTCTTTAGATGTGTTACATGTGGCGACACGCAGTCAAAGTGTCTTGGTCATTTTGGCCACATCGAGCTTCCTTGTCTTGTATATCATCCGTTATTCTTTGAACACATGGTTAAAGTACTTAGATCGCTATGCACTTTCTGTCATCGTTTTAAAGTGGGGCGTTTTCAGGTGAGCTTTCTTTTGATTGCTGACAATCTGCTTTGAACGATTAATTCCATATTCATGTTTTCCAAATTGTTTTCAAAGATGCATAAATTTGCTGCGAAACTAGTGTTACTGCATTATGGACTACTCATAGCCGTTCGTGATATTGATGGCGCGATTGTTCCAGATATATCTGATGAAGGAGACGGCGACGATTCATCGAAAGACGCTAATGTAGAAGTTATTGGTATTGTGATCTTTCAACCTTGATATTGCCGACCAATCACAGACCACTAACTATGTTTCTATAGATGAGTATGTTGCCAAAGTATTATACAAACATAGGAAGTTGATAATGAAAGGGGAAGTTATTGATGATAGCGCAACAAAGGAAGAGCGTAAGCGACTGACAACCGAGTTTCTCAAAAATGCAGCGTCAACAAGGCGATGCGCAAATTGCGAGGCGTAAGTGTTTTCTACAAATTATTGCCAAGTAACTGTGCGAAATACTAATGGTTCGGGTCGTAAAATGTCTGTCATTTGTCATTCAATTCATAATAATACTTACCATGACAAAGTCATTCAGCGACTATACGATCGGCAGGGACTGCAAAAGTTTTCCAAGTTTCTTTGACGAAAAAACAATTAGACGAAAACGCAGCGAATAGCGTTGATCAAACGTTAGACGAGGATGAAGATGATATTAACGTATTACCCATAAGACAGACGCGTGGAAATGTTTTCTTGACCCCATATCAAGTTCATAGACATATACGACTGTTGTTCGAGAACGAGCCATTAATATGTGGACTCTTGTACGGAGATAACACGTCGACAAAAGGATTGTTTCAGAAATTTCAAAGCGCGCACGAATCGCGTGATCTTGCTTCATTGGCTCCAGATAAACATGCGAGTTCTGACATGTTCTTTGTTCAAGTAATACTGGTACCGCCTAATCGATTCCGTCCCACTTCGTCTTTGGGCGAACAAGTATACGAGAATCCGCAAAATGCAATTTTTACAAAAATTCTTAACACATGCGAGCGGATTCGCGCATTAATGACAACAAGTGCGAAAAAAACCTCGGGAGATCTGTCTACAATATCTATCGAAGATTTGCCGCAGCAGCAAATAGCTCTCTTTAATAATGAATGGTTAGAGCTGCAATACGATGTTAACGGTTTGGTAGATTCTACTAAAACGAGACGCGCATTCGAAGGATTGCATGGTGTTAGGCAAATTTTAGAAAAAAAGGAAGGATTGATGAGGAAACATCTTATGGTAAGGTTGTGATAATGACGTATTTTGATAGATTGGCGGTTTTAACGTGATTATATCATTGATTTCATAGGGAAAACGAGTCAATTACGCAGCGAGATCGGTAATATCTCCTGATCCAAACGTAGAGACCGATGAAATAGGTGTAAGTGATTTAATTATTCCCGAGTAAGAGCGACTTTTTTTTTCCACTCATTGCATCAAATTGTATGTGTAGGTACCGGAAATTATCGCAAAAAGATTGACATATCCTGAAACTGTAACACCATTCAATGTTCGAAAACTTGCAACTGCTGTCATTAATGGTCCCCATAAATGGCCGGGAGCCACACACATTGAATTCGAAGACGGGACGTTGCAGGGTCTAGCATCCCTCTCTACCGAATCAAGAATTGCTGTTGCGAATACACTTAGCACACCAAGCATGTTACCAGCGCCATTCGACAGATACCAAACAGTAACCAATACTGTTAATAAGAAAGTATATCGACATATATGCAATGGTGACATGTTGCTCGTGAATCGACAGCCAACTCTTCATAAACCTTCTATTATGGCACATCGTGCACGCGTTTTACCGGCTGAAAAGACAATTAGGCTGCATTATGCTAATTGGTAATGACAATGACACATTTACATACGAAAGCGTTTATGCTCTATATTACTTTTTTTAATTCACATTGTTATCTCTATACAAGTCAATCATATAATGCTGACTTTGATGGTGATGAGATGAATATTCATTTGCCGCAGAACGAAATTGCACGGGCCGAGGCTATGTTTGTTGGGAGTGCGGGTGAACAATATCTTTCGTCGACGTCCGGCGCACCGTTGAGAGGCTTGATCCAAGATCACGTTGTCACTGGTGTATGGCTATCATCAAAGGAGACCTTTTTTACTCGGGAACAATATTGCCAGATATTGTATGGTGCGCTTAGACCCGATTCAGACGGTATTGTTGCTCAACCAGTACTTACCATACCTCCCGCAATACAAAAGCCACGATCATTATGGACGGGAAAGCAAGTGGTGAGTTTAGTGAGTTGCTTACAGTATTTGTTTGTATACATATATTTTACTTAACGGATTGGCGTTATCGAAACCCAGGTTACAACCATCCTATATAATGTCACATATGGACACAAACAACTAAATTTTACATCACGAACAAGAATATCGGATCAGTATTGGCGCAAAGCTTCTGCAGAAGAAGCTACGGTGATTGTGAGCGATGGCGAGCTGTTAACAGGTGTTTTGGATAAATCGCAGATAGGAGCATCATCCTTTGGATTGATTCACTCTTGTCATGAACTGTATGGTAGAAACGTTGCTGAAAAATTGCTTGGCATATTTGGCCGTCTATTTACGGCATATACGCAATGGCAAGGGTTCTCTTGTCGCATGGATGATTTGCGCCTGACGCCCAAAGGCAATAAACTTAGATGCCAAAAATTGAGGAAGGGTCCTAAAATCGGAGAAAAGGCTGTGTGGAAATATGTGGGAATGGAAGATGAGTTTCAAAATGCAGAAGATCCGAGTGTCAAAAGTGGTCTGTTATTTATTGCTAGTAATGAAAACTTTGTTCTCATGCATGCCGCGTAGGTTCTGATGCAGTTATATATAAACAGAATTTATTGGTCGTATGCGAGAGGTACTCCAAGATGACGACAAGCATAAGGACTTGGATTCGACAATGAAATCAGAAGTGAATGTTTTAACATCCTCGATAATCAGCTCTTGTATACCAAAAAACTTGGTAATCTTGTCTTGTAATATATTCAAAATTCTGTCTGCTTTTGAAATATCCAATCCACTAAATTTGTTAGAAAATTCTTAACAAATGCCACTACAGTTGGTGCCTTTTCCCTCAAATAATATGCAAATGATGACTGCCGCGGGGGCAAAAGGAAGCAGCGTGAACGTTTCACAAATTTCCTGTCTATTAGGTTGGACTTCTTAAGAATTCGCGTCTTATTTTGTTTGGACGAAGCTAAACGTAAAAATAATATTTTGCCCAATAGGTCAACAAGAATTGGAAGGCAGACGTGTCCCGGTCATGGCCAGTGGAAAGACATTGCCATCCTTTAAGGCGTACGACACATCACCAATGGCCGGTGGATATGTTGGTGGGAGATTTTTGACTGGTGTAAACCCTCAGGTCGAATTTATAAATTATGTGTTATTGTCAGGTCAGAGTTCATGCGTTCAAACAAAGCAATTACATCTATCTCTATAGGAGTACTTTTTCCATTGTATGGCCGGTCGCGAAGGGTTAATTGACACAGCCGTCAAGACCAGCAGATCTGGCTATTTGCAAAGATGCCTCATAAAGCATCTAGAAGGTCTTATTGCCAACTATGATGGCACCGTTCGAAACAACAGCGATGGATCGCTAATACAGTTTCATTATGGTGAAGATGCTATAGATGTCACAAAGCAAAAACATCTGTACAAGTTCGACTTTGTAGCTGAAAACTGGAAAAGTTATAATACTAAATATGGTGGCGAAGTGTTGGAAAAAGAAGCTACTCAGGCGAGCCGAGTACGAAAACTTAATAAGAAGGCTTTGGAGAATCCTAATAAATACGGTCCTGTGATATCTAATCCAGAAATGTTCCCATATAACACGCTCGGATCCGTGTCTGAGCATTTTGAATCAAGTCTTCAGAAAGTGAGTGTAGAAGGTAATATGGTGAAGTGTCTGGAAACAATTTTACTCAAATAACTCAATTTTGTAGTTTATAAAGAATAATAAAAAACTTGTCGGTAAAAGAGATGAAGATAAACCAGGAAGAAAACTTTTCAGTTACATGATGCATAAGAAATATCAGCAAAGTCTTGTTGAACCGGGCGAGGCGGTTGGTCTATTAGCCGCTCAGGGTATAGGTGAACCTTCGACACAGATGACTTTAAACACTTTCCATTTTGCTGGCTTTGGTGCAAAGAACGTGACTCTGGGCATCCCACGGTTGCGAGAGATTTTAATGGTTGCATCGGATTCGATTAAGACACCAATGATGCGATTACCGCTGAAGACTGGTGTTAGTAAAAAGAAGGCAGAGAAATTTCCCGTAACTTTAAGCAGATTGACTTTAGCAGAAGTGGTTGATGAAATTGTCGTTACAGAGAAAATAGTTCAAGGAAGGCTCAGGGGCAGCTGGAGAAAAGCTTATTTTGTTAGAATGAACTTCTTTCCCAGTGAAGAGTATGTGGATGAATATGATATTTCTCCGAAACAGGTGGAAGTCGCCATTGGATCCCAGTTTATAACAATGCTTCGCACTTCGGTAACAAAGTTCCTTGCTAAAAAGAATAAAAAAGATGCGGGTTTGTATAATAAGAAATTGAGCTTCTTTCCAAAACTCCCTACAAACTTTGCTGACATATGTCTATCGGCCGCCATAATGCAGACATTGGCAAAGCCTTGAAATTTACAGAACCAATTACAAACGAAACTACGGATGAAGTTGATCCGACACAAAGTCAACCTATGAATGGTGCGTTGTTGCTGTTGTGTTTCGCTGTTTTTTGGTTTGTTTGTTTTTTTTGCGTTCGCGTTTGATGTTAACATTTGATTTCTTTTAGACTCTGATGATTGTGATGGTGACGCAACTGCATCACGTATGAATTCAAGACGCAAACAGATGGTATCGTATGATGAGCCTGATGAAGATGATATGGAAATAATAGTAGAATCTGATGAAAACAATGAGAAAGAAGATGATGGCAACGTTGCAGAAAAAGACACCGAAGATGCATCATCAAAAAAAAAGTCAAAGGAGCAAGGTGGTTTAGCTATCAGTCATCAGTTTGATGTGAAGGGTGAATGGTGTGAGATAGACATTCAGGTAACAAAGAATTAAGTTAACATAAATGATGGAATCATATATTTGAAACGCTTACGAAATATGCTTTTACAGATTCCAAGTAGTACAGCAAAGGTATTGATGCTTGAAGTTGTCGAAAAAGTGTGTCGGGATGTCGTGCTTCGTGAGGTTCCCGGAATTAGCAAGTGCTATCCAGTACAGAAAATGAATGATGGCGTAAGAATATTTCTTTTGTTTCGTTTGCTTTTAGCACCATTTGAATGATCTAATTTCCGTCCGATCACCGGTTTTATACATAGGAATACTTTATAACAGATGGTGTTAATATACTTGGTATTGTGCAAAATGGAGAGTCGATTATCGAAATAAACAACATTTATACGAATGATATCGCAGCAGTTTTAAGAGTTTATGGCGTTGAAGCTGCGAGAGCTGTTATCATAAAAGAAGTATCTAGTGTATTTCAAATGTATGGTATAGCCGTCGATGCACGCCATTTGACTTTGGTAGCTGACTATATGGTAATGGCTTTTCTAAAAACTGCATCTTACTTTAATTTATTGAAAACTAATTCCCATTATAATCTTCTTTACAAAGACTCACGAAGGAGGCTTCAACTCATATAGTCGTGGTGGAATGGAATCCAACACTTCACCATTGCTCCAAATGAGTTTTGAGAGAACATGTTACTTCTTGACCCAAGCTGTTATTCATGGATATCGGGACACTTTACGGACACCCTCTGCTAGACTAGTAGTGGGTAAAGTGACGGAAAATGGAACTGGATGCTTTAATGTAATGCAAACTTTATCATGAAGAATCGCATAGCATTCGGCATCGATAATGGACAATAAGTTAGAGGCGGTTCATATTCAAAAAATTATATTAAAGCTGCTAGATTTTATAATGCTTAACCTGCTACTATAGAAAATAAATTCAATAGAATTTACGAATAATAAAATAACAATGAAATCGTTTTTAATTCTAGCAAGGTGTCAAGAAATGTCTTGAACTTGTAATTCTACTTTTTAACAAGAGTTGATAATAACGATGTATTCCAAATAACTTTTCAGGTAGTTTTCGGATTTTCAGCATTTATTCTCGCTTACTTTCCGGTCTCGGCCGGTTTTGTATTAAATTTTCTTTTTTCAAAATCTAGTATTCCTAATATCGTATTACTTAATCTCGCCTTTCTTCTAATCGAATTTAATCAGTTTCTCACATTGTATATTCCACGCTGATTAATATTATTATCCAAGAAAGGTCTGATTTTCTTGGCCTTTAAAGACCAAGACTGTCATGATATTTTCGGATCCAAAGAATAACCCCACTCGGGTGCAAACAATGCGAGATGACAATACTTTGCCTTAAAGGAATTTATTACTGGAGTCGTATACTGGAAATCACGTTGTACAGTATATTAGATATATGAAGCGAGTGGTCTATAGGTTTTTGCCGATCATAAAAATCTACGCAAAAAACGCGTGCTATTTTGCGATTAAACAATTGTTATCTCGAGAAAATGGTCAGAACGCAAGAATTGGGCGAGATTAGTAGGAAGCTGGGAATACCACAGTCCGAAGCGTAATAAGTAAGTTCAATAATGAAGGTACTATTGAAAATATACCAAGAAGTGGACGGCCCAATAAACTTCGGAGAGGAATGTTCGTTCTCTGATAGTAAAACAGGAGAGGAACAGTTGCATCATTTACCGCAGAACTAAACCATGCTCTGCCAAAGCCGGTATGTTAAGCGCTTTCACTTTGTGAGACAGATCCTGCTTATTTGATAGATCTATCATTATTGCGTTGCTTATGATTTTATTTACTGTGTAATATTTAACACGAAAGATTTTATTCCAAAGCTTATACGAGACAATTGCGTCTGGTAAAAACTGATATTTATGGATAACCGTGTTCAAATTAAAAATCGTGTGTGCGTGAAGATTCATGCTGGTGGAGCTACGAAAAATTTATCGTGTACTTCGCATTTATAGGTCAGATATGCAGAAAGGCATTGTTAATATACTATTTACTCTCTGCAGCAATAACGAATCGGTGGATAATATTATAGTAAAATAGTGAATTTTAATTTGCACCAGAGTGACCAAAAAATAGGTTATCTTATTGATGCCTCCAAATTATGTTACGTTATTTCGACCCTTTGGTTGCAATTGTGCTCAAGGTTGTGAAATATAAATTAATTGCAAAGCGGAGGCTTATATTGATCTTGGCTGTGTTTATTATACAAATTGACCGAGATTATAGAAAAGACAAAAAGTAATAACACGGATGGCTTGTGTATAATTTTTCTGTGGCATTAGCGGTTTGCTGCAATAGCTATCACATTCTCCATTTGGCTTGAAAGCAGAATGCTAAGCCTTAAAATTGCTGTTACTGCTGTTATGTTTTTTCTTGCTTTGTGCTTTGATTTTAATTAGTTTTGGTGGTATTATTTTAATGCGGGAAATTAATATTTAAGAATTATTAATAATAATCGAAAACTAATCAAAAGCCCCAATTTTGTGGTAAATGAAGTGGCGTTCAACAATTTCGACCCTCTCCCCTGAATATTTATGTGTGGTTACTGCCAAGTGCTGCATTATGTAAGTGAAAATTTTCTCTGCACGAAATTGCCATTGGTCACCACGAAATTTATCATTATTATTTGCCCTTTCAGCTTTTTGCCGTGAAACCACACCAATGCAATGCATGCTAAAGGTAAACCCTGTAATAAACAAGACCCCTCGCTGAAAAATCCATTTTCATGTCGCTACAACGTAGAATTGAGTAAACTCCCCAACCTTGCACTGTCTCTATCTAGTAAACCAATACTTTCCTTAACAACAATATCGACGCTCGATATTACAAACAAATTCGTTAAAGGCGGGATCATAGGATATATAAACCGTTAACACGATTTATGACTGAATTTATCCTTTTCTTGCTATAATTAATGATGCGTCCACCCGCAACGTAAAATAGAAATTTATTCAAATATCCCATGGCTTTTGTTTAGACCACGACAGCCATAAATCCTAACTAACCCGTTACATTTCCTGCTATTCTAGCAATCAACACTATGGCGAAGACGACGTTGCTCCAACTCAGTGTTTACCTGACTTTCCCTTCTCTCTTAGATATGGCTTTTTCTGTACCTGGTAAGTGCACAAATTTATATTTTGGCAGTATGACGATAGCATATGTATTAGCGACTCGAGAGAGAGAGAGAGATTACCCTATTTGATACCATATCGATAGTTAGGAAGATCTACCAGAACTGTTTATTTTCTACTGACTGCTTAGTGTCTTGTGAATGTTTTTCAATTATAAGACAAAAAATGCCATGTTATGGGCCTTACCACTCTTTGTTAATTGATTCAAACGGATCTACTTTTTACTCCATCGACAATATATGCGCAGCCTTCCTTTGGAAGAAGCACTGACTAATGTACCTGCCAAGACCGCTGAGCAGACTCCATGGTATTCTCGCTTTGGAAAACGACGTGGTGATCGAAACGGAAAGATGCCTAATCAAGTGGAAATTGCAGATACTTACGAAAATGTCGACGTTTCGTTCTTGCCATTCGATAGTTATCTGATTGTATTTGTGCTGGGTGAGTATATGCTGGCAATTGATATTTATGATTATTCGTTGTGAATACATAGTACTTTAATATTAACCGGGGTTTATTTTCATAAAGGTGCTCCTGGATCAGGTTTGAACAATGTCCCTATTTTAATAGACTTTATCATAGCATTTATAATTAGTCTAATAAGTGACTTATTTTGCTATAGGAAAAGGTACCCAATGCGCTCGGGTCGCTGAGGCATACGGATTAGCACACATATCAACGGGTGATTTGCTGCGAGAGGAAGCAGCCAAGGAGACTGAGCTTGGAAAGGGGATACGAGAATCTATGAAGCATGGTAAAATGGTGTCAACTGAACTTACGCTTAAGCTATTATTTCAAGCGATGAAAGCTTCCGGAAAGGATGTTTGTGGGTTTCTCATTGATGGATTTCCTAGGTACGTATCAAATATACAATTAAATCGAGGAAGACTCTATTAATATTATAATGTGATTAGCACAAAGGATCTTAATTTATCTTTTTCTTGCTTAGGACTATGGACCAAGCAGTGGAGTTTGAGAACACTGTAAGACGATTCTAGTAACCTGCAACTTATATAATTAACAATTGTACTAATGTCGAGTTGTTTTTTTATCAGATTGGTCGCTGTGATTTCGTCTTATACTACTCCTGCCCCACGGAAACGCTTGTACGTCGGCTAATCAAGCGTGGTGAAACGAGCGGTCGCGTAGATGACAACATAACAAGCATTGAAACGTAATGAAATAAAAAATGATCCTTTTTCAGTTTAATCGTTGTTTTATTTTTCTTGTTAAAATATGAATCGTCTATTTTATCATCAGACGAATCCGAGTATTCGAGCAGACCAGTCTACCTGTTATCGAATACTACGAACATGAGGGTCGCGTTCAGCAGGTCAGTGTGATAATATGTTTGACATTCTTACTAGGCATCAATAATATTTAAACACTGTTACGTTTTCAGGTAGATGGTAACGCACCTGTTGAACAAGTGACAGAAGAGACGTTTAATATATTTGACATGGTATTTGATGAACAGTCACAAGTAAATGATACTACTGAACTAGGGGGAGTTCGTAAATGATGTGTACGCAATGTTTATTGCTACCTTACACCTGCTATTGCTATGTTATCATCCCGATTACTAGAGGAGGCATTTATTCTTTGGTTTCTGTGTGCATCTTCATCTGTATTCCTACAAAGATCTGTACAGAAACATGTATTTTTCATAATTGGAGTAGAATGTGTACTTTATATTTAATAATTAATTGCATACCATTCATTTCGTAGAAGAACTCAGCGGTTTGTAAGATAGACAGGCGTATTTATTGGAATCGAGTTAAATAAAGGCAAGGACAGTAGAACGGATGTATATTTAAAAAATGCACAACGTACGCGTTTTATATTACTATCGTTGTGCAGTATATATAGACAATGACTGTTGTTACAACTGATGTATGCGGATATAATGATTCGTATTTTTGATGGCTTCGATTGCTGGGGAAAATTCGCGAACATATAATGCATCGGCCTGTAAATCTCCAAGTAGGAACATTAAGTAACCAAGTTTTACCATGCCTCGATGTTATTATAATATCTACCCGTATATCTGTAAGGAGGGTATTACAAATTATATTTGGTTAGTAACATTTGGCGTTATGACGCAATATTAATGTGTAGAGCACAAGCTTATTAAATTAAGGGTCTGACCAAACAGTAAAAATGTCTTTGGCAGAGTATTGTCTAAACGCGTTCGGCTTCAAATTTCAAACTACAATGTTGTTATGCAATCACTCCTGTTAATGCGTCTCCACTCGAGATAGAATTCATTGAATACTTTGAGTAATTACTATAATTCGTATAATTCCGAGTTTTAGATCAAATAAACCAATCTTATCCTTATTAACTATTATAAATCTCTAACCAATTAAGCGACGTTACTCTATTGAGTTCGACATAACAATATATCGCATATTTGACACAAATTACCACAACAATCGAACACTGTACTGTCAAATTGTCTTCGTTATTTGGCACAACTTCGTGTAATACAAATCATAGGCTTATTAAGTTAGAGGTCATGTGAGTTCAACATTTTATCTTTGTTGGCAGATCGCCTTTCCCTATTTCTCTCCTCATGTTCATCCTTTCGACTTTTCGTGACACATTAACAATAATTCCCAAAGACTTTCGAAAAAGCAAACTCGAAGCTCTTTCCGACGAAATAAACAAGAAGTTCGCGAATAAGGTACTACTATCTAAGAATGCTTCCTATTGTAGAAACCCGACAATACAACACGACAGTAACCAACTCAAAAAGGTTGTTCATGATGTAGGACTATGCGTGTGCTTGCACGACATAATTGATACCAGCGAAGAGTTTGTTCATTATGGTGATGGTTCAAGCTACGTCAAGGGTGAGTTTGGTTTGTTTGCTCTTTGAGACACGTCGAAAAAGTAGACATTATAAACTAAAATGCAGCAATTTCCCAAGTGAAATTTCGAATGATAGTTTTTCGCCCATTTATTGGCGAGCTTCTAGTTGGGAAAATAAAAACTTGTACTCCTGAAGGTGTTCGAGGTATTATTCAATGACAATAGCATTTGTTCTGATCAGCGGCTGTATTTGTACCATTATGCTAAAGCAAATAATTATTGTTTTCAGTATCGATAGATTTTTTCGACGACATCCATATTCCCTCCACGCTGCTGAAACATCAATCGGTCTTGTGAGTAGATTTTTACCATATTGCCATTATCATTTTCAAGGCTGCTTTACTTGACTCGTTTACTCGAGCTAATTCCTTGTCATATTATTCGCTGCAAGTGATCAAAGTGAACAAGCGTGGGTGTGGCATTATGAACCCGGCCTGTTATTGTGGATGGAAGTTGATGACCTCGTTCGCTTCCGTGTTGTCAGCGAAGCATTTACTGACATTACACCAATGAGTGCACCTAGATCTCGTGGTGGCTTACTAGATACGAATCTAGCCGGAAATTCGGCCCAGATACCGCCATATCAGCTGAGATGCAGTATACAAGAAGATGGATTGGGTCCCCTCGCTTGGTGGCAAGATCAATAAGCATATTAATATATGCGGGGATGGATATCATAGAGGGTGTTAGGGTTAGGGTTTTAGACAAATGACTTGTATGTAATGTGAACTAAGTAATATTATATTCAGGCAATTAATAATAGTCAGAATTACTACCGCTTTTAAACTTTATTCATAATAAAATCTTTTGCCAGGATAAACTAAACCAATTTGATATATGCGGGGGAATTTTATGTGTGGGGAAATCCGCTCTGTAACCACAGTAGCAGGTTGGTTTTAACGGGTGGATATTAGAGACTGTATTTCACTGATAAATACTCTGAATATCGCGTGGACAATTTTTCACTTTCTACGGCTTAACAAACAACATTTTAATATAACAGATAAGTGGCGGTTATATTGCCGATTTTCCTTGAAAGAGGAAACCATCAAGGTTCCCTCCTATTTTTAGATAGAACAAAACAAATAACCTGTAAAGATATTGACATGAGATGTGCTATTAGTGTCTTGTTGAAGACATTTTCTGATTTCCGATTTCATCATAGCGGCCCAAATTGAATAAAACAACAGATCTTCATGATTTGAATGTTTCGAGGTGATAGGACGTTTAACTCCGAAATCCTCAAAACTAGTCAGTCTATTGCATAAACTTTATTGACGAACTTTGTTTCCTGTACCAAACGGAATAATATAAGGGGAGTGAAAAATGCTAATTACACTATGAAATTTACAGTCGAACATCAACGATTAGGACCTATAAATAGAATTTTATTAGTGCGAACGCGGATATAAGCACCAATAATGCATGTGGAAGGGCAATTAGGGACTGGACTTACAGAGCCGTTACTTAATGCGGCCGCTAATCTGTATTTGTCACCATTTGGTATACTGATCCAGCATACATCGAAGATAGCCTGAGCATCAGTTTTATATGTTCTACATAGCTTCCCGCTCTGCAGTTGAATCAAAGTAGAATGAAAATGAATGCAGACAATTCGGTCCAATAAGATCACGTTACGTTACCTTCACAGACCAGATACAGAGTGTGGGATTTAGAGACGCTGTGGCAAGATATTTCCCATCCGAACTAAACGCAATAGATTGCGACACGGCCGAATGTGATAATTCGTGTCGCAATTCTCCCTTGATGACATCCCATATTCGTACAACCGCGTCAGCGCATGTACTGTAGATAAACAATCAGAAATTATCATTCAGATATACTATTAATTGTCTTTCTTTGCTTTTCAGTTCCGGATGACTTACGTCGCTATAAACCGCGTTGGTTGTTGCCTAGTCGTCTTAATAATGGGACACCACTGGACCACAAATACTCGTGCTGGATGAGTGAAACTATGAATTGGCTCGTCTTTAGTCATCGACCAAATCTGTATATGATACATAAAAATAAGTTTCCAATATTTTATTCCAATCAATACTGTAATGGGTTAATTTTCCTAACCTTTGCAGTACAATCATCCGAACACGATGCCAGGAAACGATTTGATAGATCCCAGGCAACCGAATGAACGGCATTATCGTGTATAAAAGTCTTAAGGGGGCATGGCACGCCTATCTGACAGATACAGATCTTGTGGTCTCTTGAGCATGTGGCAAACGTCATGTCGTCCAGCCAATCGATATCCATTACGACATCTGTTTAGCAAAGGGTGACGTAATCATAAAATTGATAACTGATTGTTGAATTTTGCTGAATAAGCACTCTCGCTCGTGATGCAGGATAATTTGCCGTGATCAGCGAGGGAATCCAACCTTGGTGTATGTCGAATGCTTGTCGTTTATTGGCAGTATTTGGGTCCCACACAATGGCAGTCTTGTCCATACTCGCGGTCGCAATGTATGAGCCCTTGTTATTCCATTTTATTGCCAAGATGGATTTATTATGTTGTTCGAGTACTGCTCGCAAGTCGCCTAAGGCAAGAAATGAGACGAAATAAGATAGATGACATGATAAAAGAATTGAAACAAGCCACTAGTTGAATACAATATATATAGCGATCATATAATGTTTCCGATAATATTTGTCATTAAATTCCTGCTCACCAGAACTCGTATATATTCGCGCAGTTCCATCTGCATAGGCTATAGCGAGCAGACCTGCTTGAACCTGCAAAGTTTATCCGTTAATAATAAATTCTTACAACCATAGTGCATCGTGATTCAAAAATTCTGTTATATGACTCACGCTCCAGTCCATCACGACCACTTTCTGCGACCCGGGCTCACTATTCTCGCCATTGAACACAGCCTTCAATACAATAGGCTCTTCATATGGGGAATTCTTCGATTGTGGTATTTTCCAAATACGTGTTGTTGCATCATGACCGCTAATCAAAGCAACCAATACATGTAAAAGTTAAGAACAGTCAATATCACTTACTCTAACCATCGATCAGATATTCACCCAGATGCCAATATTGCGGGTGTACTAGAATTCCAACTGCAAACGAACACTTCTTGCTCGTGCCCATCCAAAGTAATTACATCTTCAGAAGGTATAACACTTGGTGGTACATCTTTCCCATTAGGTTCTGGTGGAGATGGCTGATTATTGCCTATCAGCCACGGCCATAAAGCAATTGCATTAGAACTAGATTACATGAAAACTCAACGATATCGATTGCGAACAGAACCCCAACCGAAATTGATAAAAAGGAGACATAATCGAACCACTGGCATATATTGGTGATATTTCAGTTAACGGCACACGGTCTACATCCATATCGTCATTATCTCTAAACTGCTGGTCTGGGATATCCTTTGAGCGTCTATCACGATCGGCTGCGTCTTTCTGCAAGCGTCTCTCCTCTCTCCGTTCTCTCTTGTTGCTAGAAGAGGGCGCTTCCTCACGCTTATGTTTCTTGGCAGTTTTGTCGCATTTGTGTGAACCAATTAATGTAAATGGAACCGTGCATTCACTTGATGTTCCGTCCTTCAATGTAATTAATTAATTAGATACGTGCCCAATATACATATAGATTATAACCAGAGTGAAAAAAACCCCCCAACTTACAGGATTCATATGAGTCTCGATATCCATGTATAAGAGACCCTTTTGAATGAGATTTATCAATGCTCCAGGCTGAACGTCTCCATTTTGGACATCTAGTGCATCTGCGCGACTTTCTTGTTGAAAAGTAAAAGTAGTATGGTGGAAGCCTTTACTCAACAAAAATCGTAAAACGGCAGAGTACGGATTTAGAGTGAGTGAACAAATCCTAACACCAATCGTAAACACAAAACTGCACAAATATAATGCAAACTCAGATGGTGAATAAGTACAAAAGATAAAAGCAGCTAGATCGGAAGCACACCTGACTCCTTAAGGTAGCGATAAATAAGATAATTTACTTCTTCGCTTGTAAAGCTCATTGGGCGGCTTCTATACTTAATAAGGTTATTCGAGCGTCGCGAAGGTGGTCAATGTGTAAGAGCGGGAAAAGACGTTAACATAAGCTTTGGGCCAACAGTATCATTGTTACATAACAAGCATTGATTTTTGATATGGGGTATTCTGCACAACAAAAAATCACATCCATACATAACTATGACGTCACTAAATTCGGTTTTGGTAAGGTACGAAAATTGATCCGCATCACGTAATGAAACACAAATTGGAATCCAAGATTGAAGAATATAATTGAGCATAGTCCCCCTTTGAGAACTGAATTCTGTAATACTATTTAAATAAATGTTCTTCAACGTTGTAGATTTTTTGTACTTACTTCAGCCTTCATTTTGGCTTTATAAGTTTAGCGCGAATAAATGACAAAATTTATCACTATTCTCTAATCTTTTAGATTATGAAATGATTACAAGTATAGTCCCTCCGGTGTTCCTTCTGATTTTCTATAAAGAACTTTTTCGCGTGCTTTTCTGAAATCTTCTGCAATGACTTTCATCCGTCGTTCTCTAAGTGCGAGCAATCCTGCTTCAGTACAAATTGCCTGCAATAAAGACGAGGATGATTAATATTTGTATCTCGTGATCAGCAACTAGACGAAATACCAAGAGCTTACTTTGATATCAGCCCCAGACAAATCGTCCTTTGACATGACAAACTCTTCCAAATCGACGTCTTCAGCTAGAGTCATTCGACCAGTATGAATGTTAAATATACGACGTTTTGTCTTTACGTCTGGTAGCGGAAATTCAATCTTTCGGTCAATACGGCCAGGTCGAATAAGCGCCGAGTCCAAAGACTCTATACGATTTGTCGCCATGATGACCTTGGAAATTGATTAAAATTCAGATGAGAGAATGTAATGTGCATCGTAACAACATAGACGATGTCTCGCAAGGAAAGAACGTTATTTCTACCCTCATCCCTCGCGACTACTTACTTTGACGTCTCCTCTTGAATCGAACCCATCCAATTGATTGAGCAACTCCAACATAGTTCGCTGAATTTCTCTCTCTCCACCTGAGTTAGATTCATAACTGATAGTTCCCGTCCAATTCAAGGATCAATTTCGATAACTCTAAAATGTTTACACAAACATTAATGAACACTTCCCCAACGTACTCACCGTTTAGTACCGATCGCATCGATTTCATCGATGAACACAATCGACGGCGCATGTTCTTCTGCAACACGGAACAGTTCCCTGACAAGCTTTGGTCCATCCCCAAGGTATTTTTGAATCAACTCTGACCCTACCACGCGAAGAAATGTGGCTGATGTCTGATTTGCCACTGCTTTAGCAAGGAGTGTCTTTCCTATTAGGAAAGTAGATAATCTTAGTTAAATGCAAAGTAGATGTTTCCAATGGGAACAAATGTAGTAATAATGGTGACTTCAACCCGATTTACGATTGCTAGTATGCCCAAAACACTCGTATTTACCTGTTCCGGGAACACCGTACAATATAACCCCCTTCGGTGGTTTAATCCCCATTTCTTCATACAGTTCGGGACGAGTAAGCGGTAGCTCGACCGCCTCCTTGATTTCTTGGATTTGTTGTTCCAGTCCACCGATATCAGCATAACTTTCTGTTGGAGCTTTGTCAAGTTTCATAACACTGACCATTGGATCCGCATCATCTTGAAGAACACCAACAACAGACATTGCCTGATATTATGCTTAAACTCATCAATGTCTGGAGATCTCTATATCCCGAAAAGGATGCTTACGACAAGTATTGAACAATGGAATTGAAGCAAACCTTATGATGCAGGAGAATAGAACATCCAGGTTCTAATAGGTCTTTATCTACAAAAGACATGATACTGACATAATACTCAGGTCCCGTCGTTGACGAGACAATTGCATGATCATCGTCAATAATCTCTTCTAATGTCCCAACTCCCATGGGCGACCCACGTAAATCATCAACGCGTATTCTTTCTTCCTGTTTCAAATTTCGCATGCACGCACATATTATTATCTCAATATAATCGCATTGAAACATCACAAACGCAATCACACGTCCTATCGACACACACCCCCCCCCCCCCCAAAAAAAATCCATTGACTTCATCACAAACTACAGTCTCTATTCCCTTTTTGTTTCTTTTTCTCTCTCTAACCTGCGCTTTCTCTTCTTGTGGCTTCAATCTTTCTTGGTTTTGAACAAATTCTTCTTCCATTAAGAGATAATCCTTTATTCGATCCATTTTTAACATTTTCAATTTACAACGCGTGGTTGGGAATACAGCGGGAAGTTTAGAACTTGCATCAGGACCACGCCGTTTCCTTTTACCCACACGAGTGGGAATTGGGGGTTCCCATTTCTTTTTTCTGTCCTTATCCTAGGAAGAGGGTAGAAAAAGGATAGAAGGAACAGGATCGAGTTGACTGAGAGGAAAAGAGAAGGTAGAGAAGAAAGGAATGGATAGAATTTTTTATACTTTGTCATCTTTATTTTTATCGTCACCTGCCCCAGGCGGAGGAAAGCCTGATGCTGTGTTTCCCTAAAAGAACAATCGGTTTAATGTGATAAGTAAGAGTCCAAAAGCAACTAATTCGGGTACACCAATTTCGACGGATCTTTGGTTGACGGGTAAAGTATTCTACACAAAAGTTTTAACTGCCGCCCAAATGTGTCACCATGGACGCGCTCGTCTTTGTGTAGTTCTGCGGATCTAAGTTTTGCTCTTCTTACCATAATTACTTTTCACTAGATTTCAAGCGTTCTGTGAAGTAATGTATCGAAAGAATTGCATAATCTCGATATATTTTTAGGGAATGTGATGACGTATTGCTGACGCGGCAACAGAAAGTTGGAGTCACGTTACTTCCTCGAAACACGAGTCTTATAATAATGATATTATTTCACGACAGAAATCGTGTATTGTTTTTATTAAAACACGGATTGCAAATATATTGAGCGAAATAAAATTTTTACACAAATATGTACAGCAAAAAGAAAGATGACAAAAAAAACCAAACCAAAAATCACTCAATAAAAGTCCATTCATACATACATCTCTCTCCCCTCTTCGTAACTCTTATCTGCATAATTCAAACATATTCATCGAACGCTATTCAAAAAGAATCTACTCAAAGAAAAAGCTCTTCTCATCCATCGTGTACAACAGACATCTACATATTAATACATCCAAAAATTATGTCATTATTCACAATATTGTCATCATAATCAGAATAACCAAGAAGCCTGGGCGTAAGAAGGTGCACTATGACGTTAGTGGCTCGCTTTGGACAAAATAGGATCATCTTCGATAATTTTCTCGATGTTTTCAGCGACATCTTCTAAGCAGAGGGGCGTAAGTAGGTGCACTATGACGTTAGTGGCTCGCTTTGGACAAAATAGGATCATCTTCGATAATTTTCTCGATGTTTTCAGCGACATCTTCTAAGCAGAGAGAAGACGAACGAATAGAATTTAGTATGGCCATGATTTAGACAATGTAATTGGTAGCCGCCATGGAGTCCTGTCATGCATCTCACCCATGCATACAGCGTGCATATCATCTTACCTCGTGAAGCATCGTTACTATTTTTCTCTTTGGGACTAAATAGCATTTGTTGGACTAACAAGCTTGAACTCAGATCCAAGCCTGAAGACGACTTCGATTTTATATTATCGGTAGACATTTCTTTCTCATTAAACTTTTCTTTTTCCTTTTCTCTTAACCGAGGCACTTTTGGTGGCTTGATTTTCTCTTCGCTGAACGCTCTTTCCACACCAATCGACCGATACGCCGCAATTTCATATCTCCTCGCTCTCTGTTGCTGACCAGCCCGTTCTCTCATTACTCTTCCAAAGCCGAGCGCCATGTAAGCAGGTGAAATAAACTGAGCTTGTCGAAGAGGACATGGAAATTTAAAAGGGAGCATAGCGATGTGATATGGTGCAAACCATCCAAAAAAATCGAACAGTCTGAAATGTTATTCTGCAGATCAATATCAATCACATGTCGCACGTCGGGTACCCAATAAAAAGCTCTGCGTTTGACTAATTCGTATTGTTTACCCATGTTAATGTCTCCATCCTATTTCGCTTATAATCAGAACCAGCAGACGATTCTAAAATAATCGACAGAATAACCGCATTCTTAGCGTCTATTATTTTAACGACTGCATTTAAAAAACGAAAAGTCTGGATAACGCGTTGCGGTACCAACCTCTTCTAAGCTTTTACCATCATTAAGATTTTTATTTGAGTCTGTCAATGTCATCTCACACCAGCCGTTACGGCGAATAGAACCGATAACAGAGGATAAGGGAAAGTCACATTACTCTTCACATTACTCTTCACATTACTCTTCACATTACTCTTCACATTACTCTTCACATTACTCCCCACTTTCCTCCCAAAAAAGAACCGATAACAGAGGATAAGGGAAAGACGAAAAAAGTGATTTCCGCTATAATCTCTTCAAATCTAGATCATAGTTATCAATTACGGCTAGGATTGGGACAATGGCATACCTCAAAGAACGAACCAACAGAATCTTCTTAATATATCAAATATCAGTTCCGTTTTCCAAATGAGTGGCTCATCTTCATCCGATGCACCAGCGTATATTAATATGGGTCAAACACTACCATACACGAACTGATACTGATACCCGGAAAGCCACCGGAAATTTTTGTAGCCATGTGCAGCGCACTCATAACCCTCTTTTCTAGTTATGGCATTTACAACTGTGCATTGGAGCTTGGAGCTAAATATCGGAAGACTACCGATCAATTTGTAACGTTCTGGAGACAATCTGGGCATCAACAGGCTTTGCAATCCATCATTATTTATTAGAGAAAAAACTAAATGAAGAGGATATAATGGCAGGCGAAAACAACCTGGTTAAAGTGTGGTATCTCTATTACAAGTGGACCAGCATTTGGAAGGGACACAAAACAGGAATTCGAACAGGAAATTTTGACATGCAGTTCTCACACTTAGCTGCATATTCGCTTCCTTATTACCTCTAATCCAACCGCCTACTCATTCTCTTCTCTTTATACTGAACTATCCACGCCGACATTGAACGTAAACATATTTCATGGCCCTGACAAAGTAGAAAGCAAAGCGGTGGTCCACTTCCTTTCAGAAATCGCTCGATATCCTCAATTACGTCAACTTCTCCAACACGTCGGCTCTGTAAACCTTACACGGGAAGGTCATTATTTTGCATTTGATGAAGCCTTAGAATTCTTTGGAGTTAAATTGAGGACAATTTTAAACGGCACATCAAATCTGCGCAGTCCGAACGAGCAATTACAGATCAGAGCTCAGTGACGAAAATGGTAAATCCCCGAACCACGGTTGGAACCAACTCATCGCATACTTAAGGTTGGTATTGTGAGCATCATTAAATCTGTCGTAAGGCTGTTTGACGCAAGGTCAGCTTCGGCATTTACAATGTTTGCGCAGCGCATGACGTTAATAAAGTATATGGCGAGATTCACAATATTAAAGCAATGTCAACACACACTTGTATTTGATTCAACCTTGCGGACATTATCTCCTTCCCGTAATTTATTATAAACCATTTCGATGGCATCTGAGAAAAGAATAAATAGTTTAACAATTGAGCGATTACTCGTATTCACACATATTAATTTTACTTCCCAACAGTTATCAATCGCTTCACTTTCTCATTTTCATAATAGCCTATTCCTACATCAAAATTCATAACGTCACGCTTTATTATTCATAATTCTTCAATCGACGCTAATAATAAATTTTGTTTTACAAAATACTCTCCTTGCTATAGACGTTATGTAAACAATACATAAACATTGTGTGTCAGTAACAAGAATACGGAATATGGAAATCGATGAGCTTGATTATCATATAATTCAGTATCGGATCTAGTAACGATGCCATGTTCATCTGAATTAAAGCCATGGTCATTCATTCCAGCTGATTGTCGTATAACGTTAGTTAAGAACGTGTAACTCTCAAGTCAACCATGCTTAACCTTCACTAACCTAGAAGATAAGTAGTACATTAGCATTATTTCACCAAAACATCTGCTGGAATCAAACGAAATTGATAGGCTATATTAATATTAGCGTATTCAAGTAGTATACGCAAAATTTACGGCAGTGATATATAGATTCATCACCTTCAGCAAATTTCGCTTGTGAGTACATAGGGCTTTTAAAAGATGAACAATCTGCTACGTAGAATTATTAATCAAAACAGCAATCTAAATGTAAATACCATATGAGATCAGCATATGGTGCATACGCAACAGTCTATCAAAGCATATCGTGTGCCTCCTTGACATCGATGATATCCTTCGCCAGAACAAAATCGAATCCGATCGATTTAAAGTAAAGTGCTCACTTTAGCATCTCACGTCTTCAACAGCACATCTTTATCGAGTGCACTCTCTTTATCGGACTTATTCAAAATCTCATCTTTATCGGACTTATTCAAAATCTTAACCGTCTCATCTAATGGCGCGCTCTTTCTTTCGCATTTGGCGTCAGGAAAGACGTGAAGACTTCTAGGTAAAAAATTCATCAATATACTACAATTGGTGGCACGTGATCATCATAAAAACATTACGGTATTTGATTTGCAAAGAGTACCCTAGGGGAAGTTGCATAATAAAAATTACCTGTTCATCAGATATGGTGAATCGACAGTTTACTATAGATTATTTTGATTGGTTCAACTGATCGACCCCCGTAATATATATTTAATCGCGCGTTACCAATAGTAATATACTTTCCTGTATTTATAATTAATGTAGTTAATTATGAAAGTCAGCTGAATAACTAGAATTTTGTAATTTAAAGGACCGCTTGACGACTTGGTTTAAGCTAGTTGTCTGATACGATGTTATGAGAAGTGGCTTAATCTGCAAAGTTGAAAGGCGCTTCCCTGTGACTTATATCGCTTGTATGTTTGAATTCACGAAACTCTCATTCTTGAACTATACCGAAACTCTGCTTATACCGAAATGAAAGTAACTGGCCCACTTATACCGGTACTATGCCAAAATGAAATTTGATAAATGGCTTTTTTTTATTTGATACGTCAGATTACTTTGACAATCCGGCGAGTTTCCTTTCGACATGTGGAGGATCTATCGAAACCAATTGTCAGTTTACTATGCATGCCGTTGTTTTACTATATCGGAACTACTGTAAATAATATAAATCGCTGATCATATAGTATTACGATAATAATAAAGAGTAAGACTAATATCACTAATATACAGTGTGCACAAAAAAAAGGTAGTTTGCAAATAAACTTGTTTTGACTCGTAAATAAAAAAACGCGGTTATCTACGAAACAAACCAATTATTTACTTTCTATTGAGTGTGATTGCATCAGCAAATTTGCCATATTTTATTTACTAATTTTTTTGCCAGTTTTAGTTTCTATATGGAAGTAATTTAAAAGTTTGTCTTTGTAGCTTAATAATCTAAATTTGAAACTCAGTGACAAACTACTTTACTTTTGGCAAAATAATATTCATTCAGTGAAAGAAACACACACAAAAAAAACGATATTTTGAGAGATGACCGACTAAATTTTGATCAACATGATATTTGATATTAGTACATCAGACCTAAACAATTTTATGCCCAACTATTAAGTATAAAACTGTCCGGGGACTTTTGTCTACCCATTGTAAATCCGTTCGTGGACTCATCATTTGAATATAAGGCGTTGATTGGTTTCATAACTTGCGAAACGCATCGTATTATATTTTCAAAACCTGCAATAAAATCGTGATAGACCGCTTTGTAACTCGTTTCGGCTAGCAAGAGTATAAGCGATTGAGTAATTCGGTTGACGTTTTACCAGGTCTTGGCAGTCCATGAATTTCAGCATAAAATTCTTCACGGCGGTAGCAACGATCATGTCAATGACTATTTGGGTTTTTTCATCGCGGCACTTTTTTTACATTACCATGAACACGCGGTGATTTCAAAGTGAGTGCGACCAATTCCCAACATATTGAGACGCGTTTCTGGCAAGGAGATGTATTGCTATCCCAGTAATAGAAAGTTCTCTTACTAGTACGCGCTTTCTTTTTAAGGCGTCGGCTGGCAGTTATTTCTATACTATTTATTGCAGTCATCAAAAATATGTCTTGCTCAGATCTAGAGAGAGCTTGAAATGCTTCACGTAACTCGCCAACTTTTCTTTTTTGAGCTTGCAACTCAACATATCTCCAGGAAACGTATCGTCATATTTGGTGGAGCCGTTATAACTATAATTTTCATATACAGGTACTCCTAAATATAATTTATATCATTTTTTAATATGGACTTTGCCTCCGCTGCTGGCTACAGCTACCCATGGAACTTTGTCTTCGCATGGTTATGGACTTTGCCTCCGCTGTAGTCGGCCTATGACAACGCGCGACTTGATAATTTTTAGCCGGATAACTTTAATGAGAACAATGATACATAAATTATTTTTTAAGATCGAATCTAGGAAGATGGGACTTATCGATGTGTTTCTTATCCCAATGGAGGCAGCATCGAGTTCGAACTGCGAGCGGAGAGGGCTCTCATCGCCGCAGAATTCCTCACCTATAAGCGACAGTGGTGAGTATCTCACTGAGTATTTGTAAAGTAGTCATTGTACGCTGTAAATCGAAGAATCGACTATTATGACACATATATTTTTTGATGTTATTAGCCTTATGAACATTAAGATCTAACAACATATTCTGGGTCAATTTTTGGTACACACCTCGACAACAGTTATGGTTAACAAACATATAAGTTATATAAGCATTGGATTCTTGGTTGTTGTGCTATTCCGGATTATGACTAAAACCAATTTCGCGACTTTGGAAGAATCAAGCCAATCGGAATATCGAAATTTAAACCGTACTTGATATTCTGTGTCAATTTTTGGTATACACCTTATGGTTAACAAACATATTAGTTATATGAGCATAGGATTCTTGGTTGCTGATTTATGGTTGCTAGCGATGAAGATTGATTTCGCGTTTTCGAATAATCAAGAGATCGTTATATGCAAACTCAAAATCGTACTTAGTCAAATTTTTGCACACACATCGACAACAGTTATAATTAACATGCATGTAAATTTTATAAGCATAGGATTCTTGGTTGCTGAGTTAGTGATGCTAGCGATGAATATTGATTTCGCGTTTTCGAAGAATCAAGCAGATCGTTATACAACATACATATTATATACACTATATTACGTCCCAATTTCTCAATAATATGAAGGAGAGGTTAGTCAGAAGCACTTTCTTCATGACTTTTCATGACTAGTAATGCAACTTGTTCTCGCAAGGTACTACAATGAAAAGCTTACCTGGTAATATAACTGTTATATGTTACTGCAGTTGGCATTTGCGTAAGCTCTTGGTAGTATCAAGTTGTATTTCAAATCATATTAAGGAACTTTAGTGGCCTGCTAACAGATTTCGCATTGCCTCTCGCTTTACCCATATACAGCCCCAATAAATGACATGACACAAAATTTTAATAGTAAAACATATAAACATACAGGAAGTCTTTCTTTTTAAAAATCTCTCCTGCTCCTGTGTACTATGTGAAGTGCAATATTTTTGTATAGGTCTGAAGCTAATTGATTATGCTTTTCGAAAAATAATAATAATAACAATAAAATTTTATAAATTATTGTTATAAGTTAATTAGCTCGACGAAGTGTGAGTATACTAATACGTGCTATACATATATTGGGTCCGTATTATTTCATCATTTCACCGACAGTACATTTCACCGAATATTTGTCGGTGAAATTATTGCCTCTCACATAGATTATATTTTCATATCGTGATTTAAAGACTGCTGCTTAATAGTGATAACTTATAAAATTTTATTGTTATTTTTCTCGAAAAGCGTAATCAATTAGCTTCAGAACTATACAAAAATTATTGCACTTCACATAGTATACAAGAGCAGGAGAGATTTTTAAAAACAAAGACTTTTTATGGTTTACTATTAAAATTTTGTGTCACTCAGACATCGTTAGTAAACCATTTGGGGAATTAATCAAATTGTTCAGACCAGTAATATTGCGGAATAACAACGGGGTCACATGAAAAATTGATTTTGGGGTATTAGTATGACCCCAGCAAGTGTATCAAGAACAATTGGGGGGTGTATATGTACTACTTATGAAATCTTCCTTCCCTCTTTTCTCGAAAACTGTCACTCTAGTAAACAAAGTAGCAATAATGACGAAAGTTGTTCAAAGTCAGAACTATTCAGAGTTTAGTTCTCTCTTGCTTATCTCCAAAAATTATAAAAGAATCTGTAAAAATGCTTGGGATAGAAAACATGAAGATATTTAAAGCTCCTGTGTATATGTAGTCCAGAGCCAGCAGTACATCTTGTGTTATAGCATAAGGTTGATTGCTAGTTGTGTGGGTATTTTAACATTTGCAGTTTTATGTTACACATACAAAAATTACTCACCAAACTCTTGAAAAGCAGATTTTCAGGAAATATTATCATTCAAAATAAGATTAAAATTTTCATAATAAGTCTCCAATTCTAAAAGGCAAATTTTTAAAGCATAGAATATTCTTGCTACCAGCAACATTAACTCAGGATAATAATAATAATTAAGGAAGAAAAGTAAATATTACTGGGGGGAAAAGGGTTAAATGAAGCTTGTTCAGAATACATAGCACCAGCAATTCCAACATAAGGACCTGTTAGATAATAATAAATGAGAAAAGCAGGACAACAACTGCTGTACTTATACTGCAGTTGCTCATGATCATTTTTATATACCTCATTGATGAATATATTGGAATGAGCCAAACTTTTCTTAAGTACTTACTCGATCAATCATGAGGGGCCATCCATTTTTCCAATCTCTCTTCACATTTCTGTACTTCTCATTCTTTTCCTCATTTAGGCCAATGATGCAAAGTAAATCATCTACTCAAGCATCCATCTTAGATTCTCTCATTCCCAGCTATTTGACCCAAAGCATGTTTGTAAGTAGTTTGCAAGTCTCTCTTATTACATTGCCAATTCCAATTCCTCATTCCCCAAATTTTGTGATGAATATGTGGACAGAAATATCCATAGTTTTGCTCATGCTATCAAGGTCGTTAACATTAGTGTGCTATGGTCAATATGTGGGCAATCCATCGTTCCTTGAACAACAAGGTGAACAAAATCCTCAGATGAAGACTTACTCTAAACGCCTCAACATCTCGTTTTTTAAACGGAGACGCCGAAGAATTAAGGTCGAGCCATTTTCATTGGAAAAGTTCTCAATATTGGGCATAACTATAAAGGCTTGTCTTGGCCAGATCTTAATGGGAGAAGGATGGTCATGCATATGTGGGCGTAGTAGTAGAAATGTGTTAGTGTTTTTTTTTTTTTTTTTGTTGTTGTTTTTTTTTTTTTTTTGTATTTCCGCTTTCTGTCGGTTAACGTGCTGTATGTATTTTTTTATATTTGATATCGGTTATAGGAAGTCCGGTTACTCTCATCAACAAAAAAGATAAGTTGCATTGTGAGTAGTTTCGGCGAAGAGGTACGTTTTTGGTAAAGACATGGACGTGCACGCGAGAGACACGGGGTAGGGCCATAAAGGGTAAGATTGTCACATTATAGCGAGTTACACAAAATTTTGAACGCTGGAACGAATAATCCTTGGCTGGCTTTTTATTTATTAATGGCCCATTACTCTCCAGAAATTTATCACGAAAGACAAAGGTTATGGCTATGTGGACAGGTTTGAGATCGATAATGAGGGGGGGGAGGAAGAGAAAACCAGCTTTTCTCTCTGTTTTGACCAGGACAAAAGTGACAAGACTGACGAGTACTGTTTTATGAATGCCGACACTTAGCATGCCGTCAACAGCTTGGTATGTGACTATATATTTGGTTCGTGCGGTTATATCAAACGTGGTAACATCATTGAGATATTTATTTATCGATTTAGCTTCAGGCGGAAGTCTATACTAAAGCTGATATGGACAAGATAGCAGAATCTCTCAACCTAAAAACAGATGTCGAGGCTAAATCATGGTTATCTTATTACATAAATCCTCACAAAAACATAATGTATGAGCACCTGAACGTGAAAATCTGAAGAGACATTCAGTGGATTAATGATATTCCTCTTGTAGTATCGGTAATTATGATGTTAATGTGATAATAGAGGCACTGAGTGGACAAGGATTAGAGACGCGATGGTTTGATGCCAGAAAGGGTAATAATTAAGAGTTCCCTTTGCGACTAGTAGGCATTATTACATGTTTACCCATAACCCATCTTCCCGCACTAACATTTTGATCAAGACATTCGAACAGATATCCAGTTCACCGATCGAACGCTTTTTGGCTTGATACTTAACATGCGAACGGAATTCTTATGTTTTCCACTGCGCCATTGGATTGCTATTAAACCTATTTTCGCGGAACAAAGTGGAGGAGAAACACATACCATATACAATCTAGACTCTAGATTGACAAGACCCGAACTGTTTGATAATGAAGAGGCGGTACGAATGATAAATTATTTAGATTGGATACTGTATTGAGTTGATATAAACGAGTCTCCTGATCACATCGATACTTGTTGACTCTGTTCCCAGGTATACAGTTTCTTGGAGAAAGTTATATGCCACGAGGGCGGTCAGTTGCTCATAGTCAAAATCAAACAGGAACAATCTGGCAGTGATAATGAACTAATCGATCGTCGAATCCACAGGTCCATCATTGACAATCATTAGTACAGCCTTTTCGAGTATTTTTACTTATTACTCTTAATATGTCTTTTTAACCTAAAAAAATTTTATTCTAGGTGAAAATATATTAATCTCAATTTAAAGCCACATCTGATGTTGTTGATGAATAAAATTTTTGCTTAACATGCGATTCTAAGATTGAGGCAGTGCTCACTGTTGCTTATATTACACAGTTCTTTGGACCCCAGTTATTACACAACTCTATGATTGTCTGGTTAAGGCCCCGCCCCACCTTGCATCATTTCAGATAGCCGTTCTCATCACGATTGTGGGGGTGTGTGTGTGGGTGGGTGTTTAAGTTAGAACTTGTCAATTGTAAACTATTATCTGTGATGTGTGAGTAAGCATATATACAACGCTAGCATTAATGATTGGAAGTTCCGCCTCATCAACACGGGACATTTGAAGATGGTCGCATGCATGTACAACTATTGTTCAGATTTGTAATATTGACACACGAGTTTCACAGGTTTCGCAATTAGATGATACAAGTTTTAAAATAGTATCACTATCTCACGTGATCCTAAAGAACGCTTTTTCTTTTGTTCTTCATGTTAAAAAACTAGTGCAAGACGTGAGACAGTTGGATGGTGGGCATAGAGCAATAGAGAATGAGCAAATTAGGATATAACTAATAGTAAAGACATACTTTGCAGTAATTTTCCTGCGTTGACATTATCAAATCAGAAGGGACGTACGCTGCACAAATTTATATTATTAGTAAATATTAATTGCTTTTTGAGGACACAAATCGTCTATAAATAAATTAAAATCAGATGAACAAATAAATATTCGGTTCATCAAAATCACCCACTCGATAAACTCCATTCGGGTATACAACATTTTTGACCTCTCCAAATAAGGGCGTCATCGGCAGCTAAAAAGAGCGTTATCTACCATTTTCATTGCCCACTATTACACAATGAACAACATAGCCTTATTTACCATCTGCCGTCCATAACAACATTACAACTTTCGAACTCCTTCCCCTCCGTACCCCCTAACCTTGTAATAGTAATAGTAGTTGTTTCTAAAAAAAATTCGCAATAAACTGGATTGTGTCTGCATTTGGACCTTGGTGGTGGTTTGGCCGTGCCTCATACACTTATAGCCCTCTTGCACTCATTATCTTCTACGAATTCTTGTCTCAACGACAACGATACTAAATAATAACTCCATCCTTCCTGCCTTTCAAAAAACTACTATTACTATATCATTAATACTTTCCTTCTTCTCCACTACTCCCGTCTTCACTATTTCTCCACTATTCCCGGATATTGACATTCCTTACTGTGAACCCTCTCCTCATACTGACATTCTGGCATAACCCCATACTAAAGGACAATGTGTTTTTCTGCTGCAAAGTGGAAAAGAGAAAAGGTTCAAGACCACAAGTTTGACTTTGTGGACGTAAATGAATTCAAAGAAAGAAGCTTTATTAGAAGGATAAAATACTCCTTCGTATTTATGGTCGTGCTAAAGTCCGTCCTCGTTTACATAGCCGACCTATGGACAGCAGGCATTTTACTCATCTTTAACGATTGGAGTTCGGCTGTAAAACCAAAAGTACCAATTTACATTTCAAAGTGGATTTTCTTGGCTTGTATATTTATGAGTTTCGCACTATTGGCCTGGGACATGAAAAAAGCACGCAATATCATTATGTCGAAAGACATATCATACGCTTTCACTAGCACAATAGCTTATAGATATTACACATTACGTAGCTATGCACATTATTGCTTCTTCTGTCAAATTAATAATTCCAAAAAGTTAAAAGACGAAATTGCATTCTTTGTATTTTTCGCATTCAAGGGTAAGTTTCTGTCGGCCAGTAAACATTCATGTGAATACCTTAATCTTTAAATGGTTAATTATGATGACCTAACAACTATTGTATACAACAAAATTATTAGGATGGAAACGACTGCTCTTTGCTGAAGCACCGCGACAAGCAATCAATGCATTTACCCTCTACTCTATTTTGCAATCGAAGAAATTCTCTTTGAATTACAGCGCTTATGGCGACAACCTTGTGCAAAGAGCTGCTATGGTTTTAATGGCTTTCCCTTTGCTGATATTTGTCGCCGAAGCCACTAGACTTGCCATCGCCTTTCTTCTTTACATACCCCTGTTATGTCATATAAGAGGAAACTTGAAAGAGTACTGTTGTCACATGATTGATAAAAGGTAAACATAAAGTCTCATAATAATTTTATGTCTAGCATTATTATATAACACATTTGTTAATCTGAATCTTTTCTTTCAAACCCTCAGAATCGCTGAACTCCTCCGTACGAAATCTAGGAAGCGCATTCAGAAACTGAAAGAAGAAGCGATAGCAGACAAAGTTGGTGGCATCAAAAACCCTGCAAAAGTCAAACAAGATCCAAGTGCCTTCCGTCAGCCAACCCTTCCAACAGTTTCTTTGTTCGAATCTAATCAACTCCCACCGTACGGAGCTCCTCCACCGCCTTATCCACCGTCGCAAGCGCCAATGTTCGATGATCACAGGACAAAATCACCAGATCCATATAGCGTTGCAGGACGACCAAGAATAGGTCCACGTCCACATGCTGCTGGACAGCGGCAACAGTTCCCAGGCAGACGAAACAGTGGTGAATCGATGTATTCCGAGGCAACTTCATATACGGCAATTTCATCAACATCAGGATATGCTCAATCACAGGCGGGAGGAATGTATCCAATGCTCCCAGGAGCCCGTGCCGGTGACCGAATACCAGGCCCACAACCTAAGAGAAGCTATGGAAATCTGGCTGCTGCACAAGCTGCCATATCCAACCCACGAGAGCAGCAACGTATTCAACCACAGCAAACCGACTATGACAGTGATCCCTATGGCGGTACAATAGATGACTATTCAGAATATGGTGATGGAGTGCCGGAAATACCAAGAAATGATGCTAACCCCAACGTAGCTATGCTTGGAAGACCCAACCAGCCTTACGTTGCTGCTCCTGCACCAATTAGAGCACCAAACATGTACAATAATGCACAAGCACCTGTCGGATACGACGATTTTAATTACCGCCCTCCACCAGGTCCTCGTTCTGGGTCACCTACACCTTCAGTAGGATCGAACAGTTCTCGGGGAGGGGGACGTGTAAATCAAATTGTGCCATCGCGGTATCAACAAGGAGACCGGGCACCAAGGTACAATAATTATACTCAGCAGGGCGGTAGACGTGGCGCCGGTGGTGGGATACCTTAAATGGACTTGAAGTATCGAGTTTAGGATGAGAAAGAAAGAAAGAGCGGAAGCGGAGAAAGAAAGTGAATAGCAATGACAATAAAATAAATCGCATACTATATATATAATGTATTTGTATGTTTTGCTCATTACAGTTTATTTACAAAAGATGTATTGCTTTTTTTTTCCTCAGTTATTAATTTAAGCACACTCCTCTGGTAGAATTTAATTTTATTATTACATTACTATTTTTATTTAATTCTGCCAATTAGTGGAAAAAAAACCAAACAACTTTTTTTTCTTTTACTTGTACGATAGGCATTAGAGAAGTGTGAATAGAATGTCTTTTCATAAATAATATGTTCTTGCCATTTTCGACTTGTATAGTTTGACAAATAACATAAAATTTACTATAAATGTATTGGATTTCCCGAAATTAAAATGAGACAGTGATTATGGTGTGTAAACTATATAAATCCCAATTTTGGCAAACGTTGGGAAAATCTATACGACATTCACGTGACTATATTATTCATGCACCACTCCCACCCAACATTTTATCTTTTTTCTCGACAATGGCAGCGTCCGTTCTTCGTAGAGCAGTAAAACCTGACCAATCCTCGACGGCATTCTTCCTTTGTGATATTCAAGAAAAGTTCCGTCAACATATCTATCAATTTCCCAGTCTTATCTCAACTGCCACAAAAATGGTATTATGCGCACACACGAATCATTTGTAGCGAGTTTTATTTTGGATATTGAATCAGTTCAGTATGTTTCAGATTAAAGCGGCAAAAATTATGGAAATTCCGATCATTGTTACTGAGCAGGTAATGCTTGTGAATCTTAGAACATGTAAATAGTCACATTCCCACCGATCGATATGGCGTTGATACGTTTGATAGAATCCAAAGGCTCTCGGTCACACTGTCAGTGAACTTGATGTCGCTAGTGCGAAATTAAACATTAGTAAGAGTAAATTCTCCATGTTCGTCCCCGAGATTAAGAAATGGTTGGAAACTTCTTCAGTCAAATCTGTTGTATTGTTTGGAATCGAGGTAAATTGTTTCTTCCTTTAAGACGTATATGTTTGTGAACGGACGGATTACTAATACTGCATGCTGGTTGTGCATCCAGTCTCACGTGTGTGTGTTGCAAACCGCTATTGACCTCCTGGATAGCGACTATAACGTTTATGTATTGAACGATGGGATAAGTTCGATGAACTATCCTGAAATTGATGTTGCAATTAGTGTAAGTTTTACTCGACAGTTTCTCCTTGTGTCAAATTGCTTTCTTTTTTTTCGTTTGTTCCGAACTTTTTTTTTTTTTACAATTATTCACAGAGGATGAGACATGCTGGAGCACATATTACAACATCAGAGTCAGTCATATTCCAAATATTGGAAGACGCCAGTAACGAAAAGTTCAAAAGTATCTCCAATCTAATAAAAGAAAGCAAAGAGGAGACGTTGAACAACAAATTACTCTTCAGGTCAATACTCTAAATTACACACCATTTCAACGTATATTAAAGATAATCAAATTAATATATGTTTGTAATTAACAATTGTTTTATCTTGTGTACAAATGATTTAAGAATACCTCATTGCTGTATTTCGTCTGACATACATTCTATCTACACTTCCACTATTACACCTTCCAATGCTTTCTGACTAAATTAAACAATCATTAAGTTACTTGGACAAAACTACTACTATTAACACTATCTCTCTTGCACATTGCTGTCGTCGCTTTACTAGATTACGTTCCCCAACAGCTTCATCCAGATAATACATTAACCCTTTCCTCATAATACATCTCCTCTATTCCTTCGCGATGTTACATATCTACGTCTGTAGATGGCAGTAAAATCATTCAAAACTCGTCGCAATCTACTCCAATCTCGAGCTTGGATTTGTCTGTCGATCAAATAACCAAAAAGAAACGAGTAAAACATGGTAGATAATTAATATTTGAATCGCATTACCCCCCCTTTTCGCAAGTTCAAATTTAATATACATACGCATTATAATCCATAACGAACTTGTTCTTTTCCTTTGCAGTTAAATTCGTCGCTGGTAACCGTTGAACAGCATCCAACATCCATTGCTGGCTCTCCAAAGGCATCAATTTTACCATGTACTTGAAGCAACTATCAACATCAGTCTGGAAGTCACGTGGGAATATATACAAATTGCCGTACAACATTTTATACGTTAACTCGCCACCAAACTGACGTATAACCGTCTCGATATGTACAAGATTGTGTCTAGCCACTTCAGACGGCGGTTGAGATGATGAAACATTAACCGATGTTAGGTCGGCTACAACCGGCTGCTGAGACTCTTTGAGTGTCATTGCGTACGATAGAAGTTTAGAGAAGAACGTCAGGACGGCCACGAGAGTATCGGGCTGTTCTATTGACAGGCACTCTATTCCGGCCTGGAATGTTGGCGGTAGTATGCCGGATTGAACAAAAGTTGCAGGAACAATGTCAACACAGGCAATGTTGAGACGGAAATACTCTTCAATAACTTGAGAACAAATATGCATAAGTTAACAGCGAGCCAGCATGAACAATACAAGACAACATCATTGCATATCAACATACCATCAGGAATACCGTTAACTTGCGCTTCGGAAAGAGTACTAAACATGACTGTACTTAACCGCGAAACAAAACTGATTAATGCCAAGGTGACGGGATTGCCTTCTCCATCGGCATGCTCTCTTACACACTTGGTCGCTACCCACAAATAACAACTCAACGCGGTCTGCCCGAACGCAGTAATTAATCGTTCCATCAGCGTAGGCAACATTGGTCGAAAATCTTTCGAATACGAGACCACGCAATACTTCAACAATCTTGCCAATGATTCTGACAGTTGCTTATGTGCAGCGTAATTCGCAAACAGCATGTCAAATATCTTCGATTCCCACATTTGCTGTATGAGAACAATACATGGATGCACCTCTCCACTCGAATTCTCGGCCACCTTTTCTTCCCCACGACGCTCAGCGATAGTTTTGAGCACAAGAGCTATTTGTTCGATCTTATCTGCGATATTTACGGCCATTTTTGGTAGTAATTCAGCCGGAATGTAAGAGAATGTGGGTTTGTATATCTGTCAATCAAGTGATGTCGCGTAAGAGTTACTTCATATCTGGTAATAAATCCCTACCACATGCTTCCCTAATCTCGGATTCGCTTGCGGCCGGACCTTTCGCAGCTATTTCCTGCAGTCGCTGAGCCATCGGATGGCAAAAGAGGTTAACGGGTTCGGATAGTTTGGGGAATGGCACTGCAGCTATAACGTGCGATACAGCTTCCGTTACTTCAAGCATATCCATTCCGTGGAGCTTTTTGATTAGGTTAAAGTAATATGGTATTAGGCGAGGTAGGTAGTCTATTAATAGCTGTATTTACAATACACGGAATGTGAGATGTTAGTGACCATACGTAGAAACCAGTAAATGAATCGTCAGATATAAATACCTCACTACAGTCCTTGCATAAGAACTTGAATGCTAGCGCAGACGCGGCCGCAACTTCATCGTTATCGAAACCACCTGTAATAAAAGTCAATTGATAATCAATCAACTCTGGATGTGTCTTCGTCCAGAAGGAATACCGAGCAACAACCAATGTCGCGGCATATCGGATTTTGGGATGGTCAGGCAATTGTTGCAATAAAAACATGATTTGAGGCAAAACAACGTTTTCGCCTTCCTCAATCTCTGATCCCATTGCTCGTAATGAAAATAGGGGCGCCTCTATTTCCTGCCAGTCGACTGCACTTCCGTTGGCAGTATTTCTTAAATGTTGGTCTAACTTATAATAAGCCTTCGATAGGCAAGCTTGTGACCCTAAGACTCGACAACAGTCCTTCAATACATCACCCATCACATGGCGAAATTCTCTAAACTCGTCGCGCTTCTCTGCTGTCCAGTCAGACAGAGATTTAGGATAATGTAAATGTTTAATCATTACATCAACAAGATTAGAATATATTTCTTTGAGAATGTTCGCGTTTTGCTCATAGTCGAGAGCGTCAGCCAATCGATGCCAGAAGTTAAATGTTATTTTAACAATCTCTAAATCATTGTAAGCTGTGCATATCCCTATGCCCTCAACGATGCTCTGGAACGCTTCCGGATGCCGTACAACTAATGGCAGATATGATTCGCCCGCTTGTGTAAATATCCGACAATAGCCGCGAACGTTATCTTCTTCATCTTCCTCAACCACGGCTTTCTTAAGTGGCTCGCTCAACGCAGCCAACATTGGATATATCTTCTCAATTACTGGCATACAGTCATTAAAGTCCTGGGATGCTAGGAGAACCTCACATACTACATCAACAGCCGTATCAAAGAGCTCTTCAGAGTCTAGAGCCTTGAAAGTATATTCCAGCAGAGGACTTGTTTCCAGAGCACTAATAGCAATATCTCCCGAATAAAGCCAACTTAATAGGACTTCAAACACGCGTTTCTGATCACTTGTATTTGGTCCTAAACAAGATGGAAAATTTATAAATGTTAATTAACCTTCACCATGAATTTCTGCCGTAGTAGCCATCTTTTGTAATTACCCGAGTTCTGAAGATATATCAGACACAATTGCAACACTTGTTCTGCGTTGTCGGTCAGAAGTTCTCGTGATCGCACATGATAATCCTCGCTCTAATAACAAAGTAGATCAAGAACCATGTTAATGACAAAGCAGTCATTAATTTATACTGACATAACCATCAAGTTTGTTCTCACCGAAATAGGTATACGCTTATTCTCGTTGATCTCTTCTGGAAGAACTTTCAAGAGTTCTAATAAACAGTTAATAGTCTCTGGATTCTTTCCGTATAAATCAGTGATTTGCGGCAGTACGTCTCGCCATTCAGACATTTGAAGTGCCAGCGCAGCAAGAGAAACGCATATTTGAGTAATTATATAACGGGGACCAGCACGATACTCGTATAGTAATGCAAGCAATGAGTCGCGTAGAGATATGCTGGCTGCTGCGTCGAGCTGATGAAGATCTAGGGTAATCTGTAGAAAATGGAATTTACAATCTAAGTATAATGAAATAGTAGCATAGCATTTGATCATTGCAATGGTAACACGTTCTGTACCTTTTGCCGCAGTGTTCGTGCTGCTATGTATCGTGCTGAATCAGTAATATTAGGTTCTCTCAGCAACTGGTCAGTTATTGTCCATGCTTCTGCCTTTTCAATTGATAAATCACATAAAAAACGAATAAAAGTAAAATTGTCAGAAAAATATAGTTGAGATTTCCTTTTCCAATCAGTGAGCACGAGCAATACCGTTTTCTGAAATGTTTGTAGCCAGGCATTAGCCTGGTCTCTCCTGGTCCTGTCTTGGCTGTTGTATAAGGCTTCGACTTCAATTAACAAAGTCTTCTTGGTGCCTTCGTGAGTCATATCTCCAATATATGTAATAAGGACTGACAAATTAGAGGAAGCAGTTGTTGCAGCAGTAATGATATTAAACCACACAACGCGGTTATTTTGAAAAAGGGAAGTTGGTCTAATTTCTCAATGCTTGTCATTTGTTACGTTCGTGTTACATAAATAGCCCGATATATTGGCGAATGGAATGCCGCAGCAAACGAAACGTTTACTGCGTTTTTAATATTAATACTGAAGGCCATTGCACGTGATGATACAAAATTGCAAATTGGCCACACACGGTAACGAAGAGGTCATCAATGATATTTTATTAGTACTGCATTCTCTCACAAAATAGTCAGATATTTAGAGGAAGATGAATAAACTATGGTAGCTCGATAATTGTGGCATTATGGGCATGATGGAAATAAGTGCTTGATGAAAAACAAAAGAATGACAGAATTATTTAACCAGAACTGAGGTTACTGGCAATGAATTATAGGATCCGAGCGGTTAACTTAGAACATGTTTTCTAATTTCTGGGCTTGGTCTCTCAACAGTAAAAGATTCACAAACATGCAATTTTTTATAGAGATATTAATTGTTAATAAAATTTGGTAACGTGGGTAGTTACAAGTTTATATTGCACGAGTAATTATAATATTATACGTACAATGCGCAATTTATGACTCGAGAACGAAGAATTCTATACTCGTAAAACTTAAATGCGTGTTAGACATGATTTCATGCAGTTAATTATTATCACCCAATCTGAGTTGAATTTAAGCAAATAATTCCCCGCAATTTTAAAATGCGTTTGGGGTATCACTTAAGACGGAATCATAACATAAACGCGTGCGGTTAGATCTCTATCTTTGTCTTGCGATATACTGATTAAATGAATAACAAACACAATCCACCACACCATACTCCAAATACATCTTTTGGACTGCCTCCATCACTAACGGCGATTTTAGACTCATCCCATACCACCGAAACGTCGGCTTTGGAAACTACAAGATGTAGGCTCAAGATAGAACTAGATATAATATCAGGCAAGACATTTAAAGTGTTTGTAAATCAATTTTCAATTTGGGCGCTTTTTAATCAACTTTGAGACAGCCATGGTAAAAGATATTCAGCATAAACTGGGCGAAAACGTCGTAGACACCGCAACAGTCGAAAATTTACTAACCGAGCTAATAAGAGTCGCTAGCACGCTGGCAAATTTGCAAAATCTCGCCCAATGCGAAGAATACTCGTTTGATATTGATGACATTGGTCTGTCTTTAGATTCATTCGATATGATCATAAATAATACATTAACACAGTCCTTCTTGATCGGTGAAGGTACCACACTCTGGAATGCGTCAATATACTACAAGTCAACAAGTCGCTCGCAGAATAACAAGATAGTGGCTCTGCGTAAATATTTAATCGAATGATTTAATGTCGGTTATATTGTTATAATCTCAATATTATTTTATTGGCAGTCCGTCAAGCAGGATTAGTGCTCATTCAAACTGGAGCAATAACTCGTACTGATGAAACAGGTACACTACATATATTTCTTATTACGTTAATAACAAACATAAACTAACAAGTCGCTTTACTAGTCGGAATCAAGTTAATCGCTCTTGCAACAAAAGTAGGCAAAGCTTATATCGGTAAGTGGATTGATAATAATGTAATCTGATCAAATACACTGATTTGACATCATTAACTTATGATTGTAAAATAAGACTGCGGAATGACCGAAAAAGCAGATGAAGTTTATCGGTCTATGAATGAGGTTGCTGTTTAAAAACATGTATAACATCAACATTTTGGATAAACGGGTAGTAATAAACTGTGTGTTTACCCTTCCTGTAAGCATGAAGCGAACGTACTAGCATCACAAGACGAAAGCGATGACTTGAGGAAATCCAAAGCGTCGACTCTCACAACGTTCTACGCATCTCGTGCAGAAGTGGTATGTAGCTTGTATATAAAAAGTTGCCGTAAGCTTGATATTAATATTACAACTTATCGAAAGGCCTGGAAGCTCGCAAACACACATATTGCAAACCTTATGATGCAACATGCAACTGGTAACATAATCAATTGATTATTCAAGTACAATTGATTTGATGTTAACTCATTTATTTAATTTGCAAGCTGATAAGTATCTCATCTACTGCTCGATGCGTGAGGTGTGTCTGTGTTCCGAATAGAATTGTTTTCTCGTTGTGTTTATTGCACTTAAACGCGTATTCCTTTTTTGCAAATAAGGTCAATTATGTATGTCAGGTGTGTCTAACAATTGGCTATCAGTTATCGAAAGATAACAAGATATCTGAAGCCATAACTTGGCTAAAAAAGTGCCACGATGTTGCGGAGTTTATGAAAGGAAAACGATGCCATGAAACAATGTTGATATTGGTATGTCCTATTCATAAGCGAAAAAAAAAGAAGTTATTTTGCGAGTACATGACTAACGAAATACGTTTGACTATATGCAGACAAAAAGTTTAAACTTGCTCGGTAATAACATGACGTTAATCTACAGTTTAATAAATGTAAGAAGCTAATGTTAACATATGTGTATTATTAATTATAGCATCTTGTTATCTGAAAAAGTCTATTCAAGACGTATCCGCCCTCCATCTTGCAGAAAATGCCATCGCTACATGTTTAGAAGTAAGTATACTTGGCTAAATTTTAGGCTAAAAGACAATATTTTTTTTACAAATTATCAAAGAGAGATCCAGGGAATTTATTGGCAATGTCGCTGAAAATTAAAATGTTGAAGCAAAATGGTGCCGATTTTTCAGGCATCGAGCAAGGTAATATACAAGTCTGATGTTTTAGTAAAGATTTTAGACGCATACTTATTCTGCTTTTTCTTTTAAAAAAAAATTATATAGCTTACAAAGAATTGATGAGCCCTCAGCAAGTAGCAAAGGATGAACTTAAAATGTAAATGATTATCTCGCCGCATTTCTGTAAAAAATTTGTCACTAATACCTTAATCACGCAATTGGCATAGATTGCTAAATGCAGCACATTTTATCGCTGAGCTAAAGTAAGTATATGTCTGCTTTTTATACAAGTAAATGTTTGAAACAATTAATCGATTAAAATATCGACTATTAAATTTTCTTTAAGCCCGCGTGTTTCTCTAGACGGTCTCGACATGCTCCTTGAAAAAACATTAGCAGATCTCGGGAATATGGAGCTTGTTGAAAATACGATTGTTGCTAAATTTCACATAATGGGAAATATTGGCAAAAAGAATGACATGGAAAATATTATGAAAAGCGTTGAGGTTACAGTTGGATGTAAGATTAACAAAATAAGTTGAAAACTATAACGAAAATGTGAAATCACAAATATTATATTTACTAACACATATGTAGATGAACAGCGGCACGGGATTACACTTTCCAGAAAAACAATTATAGCATGCCAAATGGTTAAAAACATCTGCTATTCGGGTTAGATTATCCAATTCAACATATCTGACATTGTTCTTTTATTTGTTCAGATACTATGGCAAAATGGAGACGAAAACTACGCGGTATGAGCGGTCATAGTAATGAGCAATCCTTAGAGCTTCCTCAAACAGTAATTCTAATGTCAGTGATACAACAGGAAAAAAACTATGAACTTGCCAAAAGCTGGTATACTTTTGCGTATAAATTTATCGCATCCAGTGAAGTGGATAACAGAAACGCAGCTATATTGCAACGGTAAATACAGGTTACAGTGTTATAACAAACAATACATTACCTAACCGACATGTCCGTACGTGCAGGAAGATTTCTCTTTGCGATTTAGAAAGGCATGCGGTTTCCGATGCAATTAACGCAGTCACTCTTGCCCAGAAGCATGAGGCAAATTCTGCTGCAAACTATTATATAATGTTTAACATTGCCCTAGAGATAAATGATGTGGACAATGGTAATATAATTCTTAATACTTTGCGTTTACAATTGATTTACAATTACCTAATACATTGTTTATGCAGCTATTAAACACCTTCATCAAATGTGTAATTCAAACGACTTTCATACAAATATGCTAACAATTGCTGCAAATGAAGCATACAAGCGAAATAATAAAGAGATATTAATCGAGGTCTTGAGAGAAATTCTACTTAAGCGTCGAGAGAACCAAGACGCACTAGGCGTTGATATTATGGTGCTTTTGCGGTTAGTATAACTTACGTAACGCACAAAAAGCTGTTGTTCATGCACGTATGATCGCATTGACAACTATTTAACAGATGCCTGATACGGCTGACGCATAAAGCAATTGAATCTGCAAGAGAAGATGAGCAGTACGTTTGAAACGTTGTCCGAAATTTATTGAGCAAGCTTGACGATTAACTTACTAAATATCTATGTAGGCAAGCCTTAAGACAATATTTGTTGGGATATTTTGAAATTGGTATGCAGAACTTCTTGTGGATGAATAAAAACGTATGATGAACCCAAATTTTCGTTGAAAAAATACCTCTTTTTGTCTCTTTATCAGCCATTACAGTTATTGGGTTGGATGCATCTTCCTCACCTTTAACTGACGTTATGTTAACAAAACAAGATTTAAACGAACTTGAATGGTACTATAAAACGGGTAAATGATCATAGTAAGAACGCTTATATGAATGCATTTAGGTATTTTACTGACAGCATTTTACGATATACAGCCTGGAATATTGCTCTTGAATTTTGCCAGAATCCGGCTAGTGCGTCAATAGCAATCCAATTGTTTGGAATTGCGTATAAGGTATTATAATTTGTTATGACAACAAGATGTATGCTTGCAACAATCTGTAACAAAAACTTTCCAGTTTCTGGAACTTTATAAGGAGGAAACGGTTGAGATTCTGGCTTGGAAAAGGCTCTGTTTATTTACGTGTATCGCCGGAAGGATTTTCCAATCACGTGATAGTATAGTAATGGAGGAAAAGGTCGATGATTTAAATTTATCTTGCCGGTCTTTTCGTTTAGTAATTCTATCTAACAACTTAGGACGTGGAATGTTAATCTTATTAATGTAGCATCTTTATTTTGTAGGAAAGTCTCCTCGAAAAGTCTCTCGCGGATATCATACTATATCAGAAAATACGCAATGTTCTCCAAATGCGTAAACAATTGAATAGCGAAACAATCGTTGAACCTCAACAAGCAGAATCTGATGTTATGCTTGTATTCTTGTTTGAATTTGAGGCAAAACTACAATTAAAGCGATGGAATGAAATTCGAGAGATGCTTGACGTATGTACAAGGGAAGACCTAAAAAATTCAATGCATGTTACATCCAACTGATACGCCTGATTGATCGATTGGAATTCTAAGGACGCAAGAAAATATGAACTTAACATGCCCTTTAAAGTATATGAACGAATGATGGAACTGCTCATTATTGACAGAGAGTGTCCTAGTGAAAGTAAGCAAGCATCCTAATAAATGCTGTTAAATAGCGGTTTGATTGTGTTTTTAATACCATACCTTTGATTTTGTAGTTTTATCTGCAACTCTACAAGTAATCAAACCAGATTTTTGAAAGTTGATGCTGTTCTTGTATTATGCATATTTTATGCATGCTAGATATTAATCTCGGACTCTATCGCTTAAACGCTATTCGAATAGGCTCTCTTAAACTCTTTATCAAGTCAACCGCATTCAGAGTATACTCGCTTTTCGCGATGGTTTCGTATGCTGTTAATTTCAGCACTTCATCAAGACAAACATGTTGCGCATCAATATTTTGTGCAAGCTACGGATATTCTGAAGAATTGTCCTCATGTAAATAAAGCCAAGTGTTCAAAGTAACGTTACCAAGTGTTTGCTAAACTATCATCTTTCTTATAATTTAGCAATCATATCCAGAGGAAGAAATTCAGTGGATGATGGTAACAGCATGGAACCAGGGAGTTGACTATTACTCGTGAGTAGCCCGCAAGGGTGACGATGAATGCATAGTATAAGTATTCATATTAATGATTCATCTTTAATGTTGATATACTAATACAGAGCGAGAAATTTTGAAGAAGCCAGGAAATGGTGTGAAACTGCAATAATGTTTTGCAGATCTGTGGAGAATGGAAGTTTCTACGAGCAAGAGGTTAGTTAATCAAGTATCCAATCTAAACTTTCAAGCTTGTGCAACTGTGATATCATTTCTAGTTTAATTGTAGATGAGAGAATTGTTTGTGGAAATCGTAGACAATTGTGCTTCAAGTAGCCTCCGGTTGGATTTTCGAATATGAGTGGCCTTTGTGAACAATTTTTTAAGTAATAAAGCCTTTTATTATATGCATCCATATTAATATACCTCCAAGAAAGCAAACAGCTTTAGAATGATTGGCCGAACGCGATTCAAATTTTCTGGAATCACAATTATGTGGTAATAAGTAAATTACGTGTATTTAGTGGGATACCCCTTATTTTCTATTACAGCAGCAGCTCGTTTGGGCACACTATCGACTATCTACACAGTGAAACTCGATAAGTCGGACACGACTGGCTGGGCATGGCTGTCCGACTTATCGAGAGGCCAATAGGATTCATTTAACACAATTTCCTTTCATGTTATAAGATGTATTCGGATAATTTACTTATTAATAAACAGATATAAAGATGAAAACTTTGCTATTACTATTACTATTGCTTATTTAAATAAATGTCCGTGCTAGTTTGCTTTAACGAAGTAACTTGTTTTCTACTGATTTTCCATTTTAAATCTCTTAATCCTGAAACAAATTGACTATTTACTACTATGTCATTATTCTGTTCCAAGTAATGATACAGAATTTGAATGCTTTCTAAATTGATATCAGTGTAATATGACTTTTAAGCTAAATGACTGATTGGATAATCCGCTACTAAATTTTGTCAATCTTTATACAAATCACGTGAATCCGACTCATTTACTGGAAAGGTTGTCCGACTTACAGCTTGATGAGAGTTTATATATTAATATGTTGTCCGACTTATCGAGTAATTTTAAATATAAAAAATAAAGGCTGAGTGGTTTTGTCCGACTTAAGCCAAATCCGACTTATTGAGTTTCACTGTGTATTTGTGACCATTCTTCTTGCAATATTTGCCAAAGCTCCTCCTTATTTTTTGGTAAGGGATTGTGTGCCCTAATCTTTCTTTCTAGTACTAGGACATCCCATAAATGTTCAATGGGATTTAGATCAGGGTGGTCAACAAAGGCTAGTTGTATTATTTCTAGTCTTCCATTTATTACTTAATCTTGATGTGTGAATGGGAGTATATCCTCTTGAAAATAAAATTTTCCTTATCTTCAAGAGTATCCAAATATGGTAAAAGTTTACCTTGCAAGAGATTAATATTAATATAATCTCTAGAATTAACTCTCCCAATCTCAAGTCCGTTTTTGTGGAAGCAACCCCATACCATTATTCCATCTTGTCCTGATTTGTGCATTGGAATAAGACTAAGACAATCTACATTAATATTAAATTTTTCCATCAATTGTCACCATACCAGTCTTTTGCCATCCCCATTAAATAAACGAAAATATGATTTGTCACTCCATATTTTTTTTTCCCATTCATTTTTCCAGCTTTTCTTCTCCTTAGCCTAATCCAATCTTTTCTTTCTGGTTGTTTTGTTTTGTTTTGTTTTGTTTTGGTTTGGTTTGGTTTGGTTTGGTTTGGTTTGGTTTGGGGGGTTTTTTTCTCATTCACATAATAATAAGGTTTTCTAATACCTACACAACAAAAGTAGCCAGATTGATGGAGTTCTCTTTTAATAGTTTTTCAGAAACAACCATTGAAGTTGAATCAGCAAAACTATTCTTAATTTCTAATAATGATATTTGAAGATTGTAGAAAGTTAGCAAATTAGTTTAATGTAACTTGACATACAGTATAGGAAGAAAAAACTTGCCCTCCATAATTTTGTAATAACTCAACAACCATTAATGCAAATTATTTCATTAATAGCTTATTTAAATCTGTGAGACTTGCCAATTTTATTAAAATTAATTTGTTCACCACCTTGTTCAATAATTGCTTCACAACATCTTCTCATTGATCCTATTAAATTTTTTATAATAGTTTCTGGAATATTATCCCACTCCTCAACCATAAACTGCCACAAATCATCAAGATTTTTTGGTTACTGTTTTTCTACATTTTGTTACGACGAGTCGGTCTGATGAATCAGTCGACAAAGTCATGTGATAAAATCTTCCTCCGCAGTCAAAATACTACCCGCAGAGATCTAATTTTAGTACTGTCACACTAAAGTTCAAACGTAGTAATTTTCGGTAACGGAAAATAGTGATAGTACGAGATACAAACAATAGCTAAACTTAGTAATTCTCGGTCACTGAAACGGGTGATAGTACAAAATATAAACAACGGCTAG